GTGGAGCAGATGATTAGCCAGCAGGAACTCACAGCAGTTGGTTAGCAAGCACCGTTTCTCACTCAGCATCATTACATTTTTTGTGTTTGGATGTGATTCCTGTGTGTGATTAAGTTCTTTTTTTTTCTATATTCCTCTTCCTCAGGTGTGCTCTCTCCATCCCTCCTGTCATCCTCCTCAGCATCATCTTCATCCTCTTTAAACCAGGGCACCTCTAACCCAACAGCCCAGCAGCATCAAACACTACCTTGCATAAGAGGAGAGGCAGTGCAGTACTTGAGTAATAAATGTCCTGAGTGTCAGGCTCAGTTCAGCAGCAAAGAGGAAGTGGCTGAGCATTTTCAAGAAATCAAACCAACAAACACCATTGTAAGTCGTGTGTGTGTGTGTGTGTATGAAGGAAAAAAAATGAAATTTTTTCTCATGAAATGCAGAATGAGTTTTCTTTGGCCATTTTTTCTTCTGTTGTCCTCCAGGCATGCACAGTGTGTTCTCCTCCCATGCTCCTGCCCAACAGCTGCAGTGCAGCAGCTCATCAGCGCATCCACCAAGGCTGTGCACCACACATCTGCCCAGAGTGTGGGGGCACAGTCAAGCAGCCCCGGTTTCAAACACATCTGGACGAGATCTGCTTGCACTTTACACGCCGCATCGGATACAGGTGGGATATCTCCCTGTGTGTACTGTTGTTTATACCTAGTGTTCTCTCCTTTCTGTCTTTTCATATTAGTCTTTGTCTAACTCCAGATGTTCCAGTTGCTTGGTGGTGTTTGGAGGTATGAACTCAGTGAAGTCTCACATCCAACAGGCCCATTGTGATACATTCCACAAATGCCCCAGCTGCCCCATGGCTTTCAAATCTGCCCCCAGCGTACAGAACCACATCACAGCCCAACATCCAACACTCACTGAAGGACAGACGATGTAAGGCATTTGAAGTTTTTTTTTTTTTTTTTTTTTTTTTAACATGAAAATAAAGTTCTCTTACAGTGAATTGACCCAGGTTTTATTCCTTTACAGATTGATCTATAAATGTGTCATGTGTGACACAGTTTTTACCCACAAGCCCCTGCTGTACGTCCACTTTGATACTCATTTAATCAATCAGAAGGTGCATGTGTTTAAATGCCCTGAGTGTGCCAAGCTGTTTTCTCAGAGGAATTCTCTTCTGGACCATTTCAAGGTAGAGCAGTGTTTATGTACTATGTCTAATATAATTAAGTGTTTAGGCAAAAAACAAACAAAAAAAAAAACAAAGAAAAAAACACCCTCAACCTTACAATTTCCCCCCTTATTTCTTTTTACCTGCTGTTTCTGTGTGCCAGACCCACAAGACTTCCACGTTAGAACAAGAGTTGCCTTCGCCTCCAGCTGTCTCCTCTCATTTACGACCTTCAGTGAAGTTGGAGAGCTCAGATGTGGAGGAATGGATGGATGAAGATAAAGAGAAGAAAGTGAAGACAGAGAGGTTGAAGGCCGCCTCAGGGTGGAAGTGTGCACCCTGTCATGCACGTTACACAGACAGGGAAGACTACATTACTCATATGGCTGAGCAGCATGGCAAGGTTTGTAAGCCCAGCACTCCCTGCCAACACTATATGTTCAATTGTTAGTCAAAGATGGATAGATATAGCCATACAAATGTGTTTGTGTTGTGTAGATTCTGAAGAAGTTTCCTTGTAACAAATGTGAAAGCTCCTTCACCACCACCTCCAGTATGAGACGCCACATCAGAGACAAACACAAAGTTATGAGTCGTGGTTTCCGCTGCCAGTGAGTATTCCACACACTGCCTGACTGAGTGAAACCATTATTTAAGAGGGTTGCTATGGTAAACCCCCAAAACCTTCAAGACATTGTTTCAGAAAATGTAAAAGTAACGTTATCAAGCTTACAGTGTTGTACTGCAGGGGTAGTCGTGTATAGTCAGTAGGTGGCGCATGCACTAAGTTGGTATGAGTGGTATGTTGATTTCATTGAAGAAGAAAAAAAAACAATTAGCACAATATCATCAGATCTTTTATTGCATTTGTCTAGTTAAAAGTTGCAAAAATGAGTTAAATATGAAAATAGTTTACTGCTTTACCTTCTACATAATTCTGCCAGGAGTGAGACACACTAAATGTGTGTGTGTGTGTGTGTGTGTGTGTGTGTGTGTGTGTGTGTGTGTGTGTGTGTGTGTGTGTAGGCTATGTACTGAGGGAAAGAAAATGTTCGGCAGCAGAGTGATGCTGGAGAGACATGTTCAGCTGAGACATAGTGCAGATGCTATGAGCCAGGACACATGTATGGTAAGCCGCCACTTTGTGTATCTTACAAGAAGTCCAACAGGAAGAGGTTGATGCTGGTAACAGCAGTTGTCTTTGTTTGCTCAGCGAGGCGGAGAGGAGGCAGACAGCTCTTCAGAACACGACGGCAGTTCAGGGGTTCGCCAGAGACGTAGAAGAACTGTGAAGATGGAACAGGATGAAGAGTCCGCAGATGTTGGGAGTCCTGTAAAGAAGTTGAGGTTATCTGCTGCTCCTGCCCCCTCCTGCCTTTCTGAGTCTGGGTTCCGCTGTGCCCCCTGCGGCTTCACCACTGAGGAGCAGGCAGTGTTCCTGGAGCACATCAGTCAGCACAGGCGAGGAGGGACAGAGGATAGCAGTCTGCAGTGTCTACAGTGTGGCACCTGCTTCACGTCCACCTCCTCCCTGGCACGCCACCGCTTCATTACCCACAAGGTGAGAGATGCCATCACTGCTAACCAGCAAGCGCTCAGTGTGAACCCAGCACCCTCCCCTGGGAATGGCAAGAACCATGATGATAAGACTTCTCTGGATGATTCTGCACCAGTATCACCCTCCTCTCAACCCTCTATAGCTCAGGGGAAGGAAGAGGAGAGCGCACTGGCCTGTAAGGTGTGTGGCAAACATTTTGAAAAGGCGACAGATCTGAATACACACTTCAGAACTCATGGTATGGCTTTTATCAATGCAAGAAATGCAGGAAAAACTACTTAAGATGGCAAATATGAGGTAAGCGATGAAGGAATACTGGCAACGTGCCTTTTTAAAATAATTAAAAGGTTAGCACACCTATGCACTAATTGAACCAAAGATAGCTAGAACAGTTTTTATGTGAGCAGACTGTAACACAATCAAATGTGATTCTCTGGTCAAAAACCAGCTGCATCCCCCAACACTCAGGATCTAACGCTGCATGTCTGCATTCAGTGATGTTACTAATGAGATCAGACCTACTTCCCAGTCAGTGCACAGTTGGTCTGACTAGTTCACTGCTGTGGCCACATTCAGTAATGGGCCAGTAGAGCTGTAAATGTTGCAACCAAATCCTACTGTGATCATAGTGACTCTTTCACTGAATTTTGACAGACAGCGATGGAATGTGTCTGTTTTGACTTCAATATTTTCATCCTACTGAGGAGGTTCTCAAACGCCAACCCAGGTGTATTTCTTTAAAGTAATTAATATATTTTTAGAGAATCATTATGGGGGTTTTGAATGTTTGCTTAGTTGCTTTTGTATGGCTTTGTCTTACATTTTCAAGACTATACTGTATGGTAACATACTGTATTATTTTCATTCAAAATTTTAAAGGCAGCCATTGGCTTCTGTTAATTTTTACTGTGTTTGAGTAATGAGTTTATCGGTAATGGAGCGGTAGTAACACAGAGAATGTTGTACTAAGATGACTTTGTAAGATACCCACTTGATTAGTTGAATGCAGACTTCAGATTAGCTTTGGCTGAATTTTGGACTCTTTATGCACAGAACTAGATTTAGTCATCAGTTACCTCTGCACTTGGGGTATGGACAGGGTACACAGTGACCAACAGCACTGGAATTAAGACGGACTTAAAACATGTGAACCTGTTTTTAAAATAATTATTGATAATGTTTCTCTGCATGTTTATATTTAATGTACTGAAATAAATGTGGACCAGTAACATTCTGGAAGATAGAAATGCAATCTAAAACTTCCACTAATCTTCAGAAAATGGTTAGCAATAACTTAGCGAACACAATTTGTAGCTACAGGTGTAAAACTTTCATAGTCACTGAAATTAATGGTAAACTGTTTAATACCATTTCAAATGGAATGTACTGTATTTACATCAGATTAACTGATTTATTCTTTCTCTGTGAGCAAGAGATGGAACTAAATGTTTGTCCTTTGCTTACTGGTATGCAAGCCTATATTTGTCTAAAGATTGCTTTATGAAATTACTGTAAAGAAAAGATCAGTTTGTATGTGATCATTTTTCTTAAGAACAGGAGAACATGTTAAAGATTTGATTAATTTTCTTTACTCTTAGGCACCGCAAAAGAAAAAAAACGTATATGAATGACTTCAGCTCAGGTAAACAAGCTGTTATCTAGAGAGTTGTCATCTCGGAATTCACTTACACAGAAGTACACAAAACTAGACTTAAACCCAAAAGTTAGAACTACTGAACAAAACTGTCCCAAGACACAAAGAGGTCTGAAAGACAACTCGGTATATGTTGTATTGGGTTCTTAAAAGATTGAGTGCGCCATGTTTATACTGTATGTAATTTCTGTTTAGTTGCCCGTTTTCTGGCTGTTCATGTGTGACAGGTTGTTGGAGGGCAGAATCCTTAGTCTGAGCTAAGATCCATGCATTGATATCTGTATGTGCTGGTTACTTTCTCAGGAGATTATCCTACGCTTTAACACATTGTTTAACCTGTTTTGTTTTTACATTGACAGGACAATTTCTAACCAAATGTTAACAGATTAATAAAAACTGGTACTCTGTCTTGTTTTAACTTGGTTTTGTCTCCCAGGGCCATTTTAACATTTTAATTAAGTAAACATTTGAATTTAACCATTTATTACTGTCAAATTTTTAAGAACAGTATCAAAATAATGAGATCTGAGGACAGTCTTTTATTAAAATATACTTTCTCAAATATATAGAGACAGAATATTTAAAATTCAAACTGACAAAAGGCAATCAGAGAATGCTTACCAGGTTATTGGATTACACTATGTTGTGCACACTACACTCACTAGAATGAGCTCTGAAACCTGTCTTCATCACAAGTAAGATAAACATGAAGAATTAAATGGTAGTACTTTATAATTCTAACTTCTTAGAAGATGAAGTTTTTGTGTGTGGTGAGCTCAAGCTTCTGCAGGGTTTCCATTTAGATGTGGTGTCTCGCAGCAGCAGGAGCTCCATGAGGAGAAGCAGCAGAGGCAACATGAAGGATAAGTTCCCCTTGACACTCAGGGATGGAGCTCCTGGATGAGACTGATTGAATGTGAAGATTTATTTTACAAGAATCCTTAAAGTTCATAAATTTTGTTTTTAAAATATTCCTACTATTTTCTTACTTATGTAAATAGTTTGCTGGCTTTGGTTATTTTACATAAAAACCTGTAATTATTTTTCCAGTGGTGTAAAGTAAGTACATTTACTCATGTACTGTTTTTAAGTACAATTTTGAGGTACCTGTACTGTACTTGAGCATTTTCATTTTGTGCTGCTTTGGTTTACTACATTTGAGGCAAATGTACTTTTTACTCCACTACATTAACATAGGTTACTAATTACTTTTCAGAACCAGATGATACAAAAATTACAGTAAACTCTGAAAAATTAAACATTTCTGATGGTAACATTCAGTGTATATAAAGTACTTCAGAATATTAGTATATAAGGCAGTTAACATTAGCACCTTTACAACAATACATCAATAATTATAATCAATATGATATACATTAAATGTTTCAATTTGCATAATGACTCATTTTACTCTTAGTAGTACTTTAAGTATGTCTTGATGCTAACATTTAACATTTGTATTCAGGACTTTTACTTGTAACAGTATTTTTTACATTGTTGTATTGCTACTTTTACGCAAGTAAGGCATCCCGAGTACTTCTTCTACCTCTGTTTTTCTGTGCCATTTTCAAGAGGCAGGGCTCTGTTGATAACCAGTGATGTCACATACTTTTGAAATGTAAATGAGTTGTATGCTTATGTTCTCATTTCTCTCTGAACAAAATCTGATCACACTGGATCCACCGAGTTTCGAAAGAGCAGATTTCGTTTAAACCAGCTAAACTCTAAATTCTTCACTTTGCCTTGGGGCAGCAAGAAAAAAAAAAAAGCACCATAGATATGAACACTGATATATTTGATATGGTGTTAACAAAAAGTTGCCTTTACATATCCAGCAGATATGGAGTCACACAAAGATTTATTTGGAGTTGTGTTTAGGTGGACTGTAAATAGAAGTCCAATATTCACTGTCCTTTTAGGTTTGTTTATGCAGCGGTAGAAGTAGTATGCTGATTCTTTACTTTAGTGAAAGAAATTAGACGGTGTAGAAGTACTCAGTTACAAGTAAAAGTTCATCCATCCATTATCTATACCACAAATCCTGTAAAGGTTGCAGGGCGACTGGAGCCAGTTCCAGCAGACACTGTGTTAGAGATGGGGTACACCCTGGACAGGTCAACAGTCTGTCACAGAGCTGACCGATAGATGACCATTCACACTCAAGTAAAAGTCCATATTTTTCCACAGGTACAGAAATATTTGCATCAAAATATACTTAAAGTATAAAAAGTGAAAGTACTCAAGCACATTTAACATTAATGTATATCATACTGTTAAAATATAATTAATGCATTATTGTGTACATCACATTTAATATTACAGCTGGTAAAGGTGGAGCTAGCTACTAATTTGAAGTACTTTACATGCAATGTAGAGCTGAGCTGGACTGTAGAGCTGGATGACAATTATCTGTGTGAATTTAGATCAGTGTATATGGGTCTTCTTACCTGACTGGCTGTTTGTGTTTGGACAGCAACACCAGTCGCAGCCCTTTGAAGAATGCCTTTTTGCTGATCTGTCACTCTGTCAGGGCATTTTGTTGTTCAGCAGTTACCATGGCTGCATTGTCAGGACCAATATTCCCCAGCTGAGCATTAGAGAATGACTGAAGGGATGAAAACAAGTTTTTACAACAACAAGTTCTTAACACTTTTAGCTAAATGTGACAATAGAATTTCATGTTTATTTTTCACATTACCTGCAGTGGTGGGTGTATAATATAACTAGACTAAATATTTGACATAATGCATTTCTTTCCCCTCTAATGATCTAAAATCACCGGTTGCTTCAGTGTGGCTACACCCTCATTCCATCAATTTGTATGACAATTTAATTGGATATAAAGTAGGTTGTGAAGTTCTGTGAACTGCACAAACTTGAGAGCTTCCTTGTTGAGCTGGTACAACTTGCTGGTGTTGAAGCCACAGAGGAACCAGTTGAGTGCGACCATCTCTGGAGCCCCCAGCTGATCTGACCGTCAGATTGTTATACAGTATTTAGCAGCAGCCTTCCATATACACCTTATCTATTGAAACAGGTCATCCTGATTAGTGATCATCACGAGTATAAACAGTATAATAGTGATGAGAATGCAACACTGTTTCTATACTTCACCTGTGACCGATTCCACGGACATTGGGCAAATTCCTCCAGAGACTCCAGTGAGAATGGGAGATTCTCCAGTTCTGAGTTGGAGAAGCCCTGAGTTATACAGCCGAGCTGCACTGCCACAGTCTCGTTCATCTGAGACACTGGGCCTACAGAAACATAAACTCAAACAAATCAGACTTCCTCAGAAAGGTGACTGTACTCAAACAATATCTGTGGTGAACATAAAATCTAGACGTTCAGTACGGATACATGCAATTACAACCTTAAAATGTTCTTAATGCCATTTTCAGCGAGAGCTGACCTTGGATATTGGTAGTCATCAGAATACTGTATTTTACAGTACACTTTTCTATATTAGGGCAGAAGATTTTTTTCTAAGGGCCCACTGAAATTTTTACTAAATCCCAGGAGGGTCTTGCTTTGTTTAAAAAGTGAGCCGCCCTGCCCACGATAGTCATTTTCATACAGTTCCTTATTGCAGTGGCCTCACCATCAACCCCACAATTAAATTTAAAGAATAAAATGAACCACAAATGTTAGAATGTGGAAATTTTTTTTAACTGGCTTTCTATCACTGCACCACTGCTCCCTGAATGAACAGATTCAAGGTCAGTGACTCTACTGTACCTCAGCTGCTTTTTTCCTGAGGATGGCCACTTGGTCCGCATCATAGTTAGGGAAGTATGTCTACAGTATTAATCAAGGTTTCATTTCTCATCATATCCAGCAGTGCAGCCACCCAATGGTTGTTGTACATTCCCAAATGTTCAATCAGGTCCACAGTTGGTACTACAGTATTATTGCTACCACTGCGAGTGTTGCCGGTACTGTTAGCATTGCTATTAGTGGCACTGTCAGCTGAGAGGGACAGAAAGAGAGACGTTATGGGTGAGAACAGAAATGTACAATAAATTGAGAGCCCAGGGCACTGCAACTTGAGATAACATGTTAACAGACAAAAATCTTCACCACATGTGCAGCTTTTACAAAACAATCTGCAACACTGCAAACAGCACAGACAGCAACCAAAACGGTTTCCAGGGGACACTAAAAAGTGATGAACACAGTTGAGACACAGGGACACACATGAAGACGACTATCACCATTAGTGATGCTGGAAAGTGAGCACATTCTGACTGCATGATAAAATATCAATAAATAATATTCTAGATATGCACTGTTAACCTGGTGGTGTTCCTGTATGCTGTATTACACCGTTTGGTTGTTTTCAGTATTTATTTGTGATTTCTGTATTTACACCTCTTTTCACAATTTAGTTGTGGGGTCACTTTTTTTCTAAATGCTGCTCCTGTGTTGATAATTTGCCTGAAGTGTGTTCATTTTGTCAATTTCAATGTGTTTTCTTATAGTATGGTTTTAGTATATTACTTGTGTGGTGTAGAAAAGAATTATTTATGTAGAGATACTGCTTGCAAACCAATGATGGTAAGATGATGTCATGGGGTAGGACTGGATAAGTCTGACTTCTTCCTACTCCATTCAAGCATGTACTAGGTATAAGCAAATTGATATTGGATTAGCATTTGTTGGATATGTGTAAAATTATGTGTGTTGACATATCAACTGTCTTTACATGCTTGAAAGAATAAATCAAATCAAATCAAATGGTGTGTTGAGCTCTCAGGGCTGCTGTACACTACGATTCTACCAGTTATGCAGTATAAGGAACCAAGAGCAAAACAAAAAAACAAAATCACACACAAAATGTCTCTTCCCCACTTTCTCTCTTTTTGTGTGCTGCATTTGCTGTGGTAATGGTGAGATCAAAGGGTTTCCTTTTCAGGGCGTCCGAGGCTATTGGCAGTTGTGACTTCAGGAAATAGAGGACGTCCTTCATCCATGGCTATCAGAGACGCAGAGAGGGGAAACAAACAAAAGGTATCATAAAAAACAAAGGCATGACTCATGGTAAACAGGAGTACTCTCAACTCCCTCTTAATTTTGACATTGATGATGTATTGATGCGAAGAAGTGGAGATGCAAACACTAGACACTTGGACAAAAGATACACACCTTATTGGGCAAAGCAGATGTGACCTTATCATCCAAAAGCAGGAGAGGACCCAGTGCTTCCATAGTCTCTGGTGTCCAATCAGATGGATCCCTGGAGAATATTGAAAACAATGTATTGGGCTCTTCCTTGTTCACAAGAGACTGATACATTGCAGTCTTGCAGTGACTTCAGTGTTTCCAGGCAGTGTGTCCTACCCAAAAGTCTGGATGACTAGCTGAATCAATTCTGCCCTGTGGCGCTGAGGAATGTGCTGGCAAGAAGCTGCAGCCTTGAGGCTGGCGTTGAGGACATCAGGGGCCATGAGGCACAGCTGGGCAGGAGGGAGCTCACACAAGAGTGGCCCGAGCCTGAACACATCCTCTGTAGGGGACAAATATATCCAGCCTGACCACTGGATATATTTGTCCCCTACAAATGTATAGCAAATACCTCAGGCTAGTGTCATATGTGTGTACCCACTGGATTCAGGAAGTCATACTAATACAGTAGTTGTGGAGACATAGGTACAGACAGCTAATTTATAGAAAAACCATGAATAAATACAGAAATATAAGCATGCAGGTGACCCCATACAGGGCCTTCACACTTGCCTAATGTCAACCCAGCTGAACGCCTACAGTAGTTTTTGGGCTTGACCGTGCTCTCCACCACCACCACCACCAAAGCTCCAAGTGAGGGAATAACTTATGAAAGAACGGTATTTATGGCTCTAGTAGAGTCTCATACACTTGGAGATTTATGCCACGGGGCCCTGAAGCTGTACTGGCAGCTTGTGGCGGCCCTTTAGGGGCTTTATGTTTAGGGCTGTCTGTATGTATCCCTACAGTGCCTTGCGAAAGTATTTGGCCCCCTTGAACTTTGTGACCTTTTGCCACATTTCAGGCTTCAAACATAAAGATATAAAACTGTTATTTTTTGTGAAGAATCAACAACAAGTGGGACACAATCATGAAGTGGAACGAAATTTATTGGATATGTCAAACTTTTTTAACAAATAAAAAACTGAAAAATTGGGCGTGCAAAATTATTCAGCCCCCTTAAGTTAATACTTTGTAGCGCCACCTTTTGCTGCGATTACAGCTGTAAGTCACTTGGGGTATGTCTCTATCAGTTTTGCACATCGAGAGACTAGAACTGACAACTGCTGTTCACAAACGCTCTCCATCCAACCTCACTGAGCTCGAGCTGTTTTGCAAGGCGGAATGGGCAAAAATTTCAGTCTCTCGATGTGCAAAACTGATAGAGACATACCCCAAGTGACTTACAGCTGTAATCGCAGCAAAAGGTGGCGCTACAACGTATTAACTTAAGGGGGTTGAATAATTTTGCACGCCCAATTTTTCAGTTTTTTATTTGTTAAAAAAGTTTGACATATCCAATAAATTTCGTTCCACTTCATGATTGTGTCCCACTTGTTGTTGATTCTTCACAAAAAATAACAGTTTTATATCTTTATGTTTGAAGCCTGAAATGTGGCAAAAGGTCGCAAAGTTCAAGGGGGCCGAATACTTTCACAAGGCACTGTATATGTACATTGGTGAGGCAGAGCAGAGCCCTCTGGGTGAGTGCGGGGCAAGATGGGGAAAGAGGAGGTAATGAGGTTTACCTGTGGCCAACTCCAGGTTTTATTCTCCACTTGGTCCAAAGAGGTGATGTTTGCTTTTTTCAGGTCGGTTAGGGAAATGCTTTGAAGCAAAGGGCCATCCATCCTCTGCATCAGCTCCGAGGGATCTGCATCCTTACGAAGCTACAGGGAACATTTAATACAAATGTCATCACTGATAACATTGCTTTTTCAGATAATATACTGTATGTTCTCTCAGAGCTTTTACAGTATATTGATCTAACATTCTCTCTGCTTTTCCCCAAAGACCGTCCTCATCAGAAACCCAATTGGCCTTAATCAGTGTTAAAGGAACCAGCCGCTATGTCCTGCTTCTCTCTCCGTACTCACCGCCTGCAGTTGCAGTTGTCAAGCTGAGAGAGTAATTCCTTGCTGAGGTCAGAAGTCAAGTCTGGAGTATCAAAGTAATAACAAGCCAGCGAACCAAGCCTGAGGAGGTTCAGAGGCAACAATGTACAGTAGTAATTATTCCAGCCTTGAAATGTAATCCAGCTGTAATGGCAAAAACATTCATGTGTATACAAAATACTTGTCATAAATGTACTGTATCTCTTTCCTTTATAATGATGGAGTGTAACAAAGCTCTCATATCGTTTAGGACCTTTCCTAACTTCAAAACCCCAAAACACAACAGCACTCAACAACAGAACAACAGTGGTGTGACATACAGAGTACACAGTGAACAGAAACCACAGGGATATTTTATCCTCACCAGTGGACATGTGAAAATCATTTTGAGAAAGTTAGGCTAGGTTCTTTTCCAGTAGTGTTCTAATGCACACAGTTTTAATACCCTCATGTACACACATTCATTCAGGAACACACACTCGTCTACATACTGTGTTAAATACTCCTTTCCACTTAAGCACCCTTGAATTTTTTCAAGAAGCTTCATGCCCAGGCTGGGCTTGATCTTGGTTGCCTTGCTCAAGGTGGAACTGAACTGGTCTGAGTGGAAAAATTCACATAGCTAGTGGACAAATCAAAAGGAAACGAACCAACAGAGCCACCAATTAATGTCTTCTTATCTGCTATTTTCATTTTAATTGTCTCTTTATCCTTCTCTGAGCACCCCCTCACCTTTTTTGGGGACACAAATCAATATCCTCTGGTGCTAAGTGGGTGAGGTACGCAAGTCCCCATCGTGGCCACTGCATCAGAGTTCAGCCATTCCAAGGAAGGTTTGCAGCGCTTCCCAAGTTCTTTAGAATAAATGACCCTGTTACAAGTCATGTTAGTATTCAATAGAAAACAGTCAGGAAACAAGGCATCACACCAATTCATTAAGATTCTCTCTCTCTCTGTGTGGGGATCTCATAAGTACTGATGAGCAATAACTGTCACCAGCACAGTTATATAGTGATGTTCCAATCTGCTTCAGTCAATGCTGGAGACTTTCACCAGCCTGTAAAGCTGTGATTTGCATGACTTCCTGGACTAAAATCCCCTCTTAATGTCTAGACTATGTGAAACCATACTTATTTAAATCTCACATTTTCTCCTGCCTGTGTGTTTTTAGTGACATGTTTTTTCAATATGCTTTGCAGGATTTGCATCTGCCTCATGGTCTCCTGCCTTTGTTCATTTCATCTGGCTTTATTTCAGATTCTCGGTTCACCCTTGACTTCTGCCTTTTTTCCTCTGCAGCTTCTTGCTCTTTAAATTGCTTGTAGTTCCCCGTTTTGTCAGATATTATCACAGAAAGTGGTTTCTGACTTAATGGGTTTAACTCATTTCTTACTCAAGTCTGAGTCCGATGATGGCTTCATTGTACAGATGAAGTAGTTCTGAATGATCTGTTGTTTGGCCCATTTTGCCACGGAGGTTCTTTGAGCCTCAGACACAGGATGATACACGTCCTGCAGCAATTTCATTCTGGAACCCAGAGAATATCTGTCATTTTAGGAAAGGTTGCTAAATGAAAGGGAAATTACTTTATTACCACACACGCACATTTTTCATATTTTCCTCATCTACAATGATAGGGAGGCACATTTCTGAACAAGGCATGCCCTGTAGTGCAGGTTTAGCAGTGTGTCATAGTCATCTGAGCTCATGTTCTTTTTGCCCGGTGTGGTCAAAATTGTCCAGGACAGAGGGCCCAAAATGGCTCCCATATAACATGCACATGCCTCCAGCGGAAATGAGACCAATGGTAAGTATGATTAGACTGACGGAGAGCAGCATTAAATAGGTGGATTATGTTTTTGTTAAGATCTTGATGTCAGTGTACAGAGGAGTTCCTCATCAGCCTGATCATGTTTGAAAGGTGGCTGCAATTCCACATCTTGTTTATCTAAAAAGAGACAGAGAGAAAGAAGAAAACTGAAGTGTGCAAGTCAGTCACACATACAACATATCAATGAATAAAATCATCATTTCTGTACTACAGATAATCAAAGACTAACCACTTACCCAGAGTAAGAAATAAACAAAATGAGTTACATGTTTTGTTCACTTTTTTTTTTTTTTTACTACTGTTGTGAATACATCTTGTGAATGTAATTTATGTGTGCAGCCATGTGTGGATCACTATGTGTGCACGTGTATTCACACCATTTTATCTGAACCATCCATGGGGAATCGGCCAGTCTTTGTTTGTGCCTAGTGTGACTGAATTCAGGACTCCAGGAATTCAGGATAGGAGGGTGTTTGATGGGTCAGTGTTTTTGTCTTCCAAAGGCAAAGTACTAAAAGAGAAAGAAGAATGGAAACAAGAGCTGGTGAGTAGAAATGGTTTTAAACCTCAAGCTGCATTTAGGAGAAAAATAAAAAAATAAAAAAATTAGACACTAGAGAGCTCAGAAAGTTCACTTCAGTTACAGTATGTCAAATGTGTTCTGGGAAAAGGGACCAAAAAGAAAAATCCAACAAACTCTTCTAAAAATGAATAAAAAGCCTTTACTCAGATGGCTCTCATGATGAGGATTAAAAAACAGGTCATATTCAGATGTGGGTTACAGCCCACGTGTAGTGGAATAAAACTGCCTTCTTCACAGTGTAAACTACAATACGTGGGTTTCCCATAAGCAGATACGAGGTAATTACAAACACCCGATGACAACAGGAAACCATGATCCCACTGATGACAAAGAACAAACGCTCCACCAACCCCACAGAGAAGAAACTGCTGCACAACAATGGAGCAAAAACCACAAGAGAATATCATCTGCACTAAATACACATCAAAAACATTTTCTCTACATCAAAAAAAACAACAAAAAAAACATTTTAAATTCACATAAAAGGACTAAAACATTATTATAGAATTAGCTAAATAACTATATTTAGTAACAAATAGTCGTGATGTCTGAGGATTTGCTTTTCTTTGTCTCAAAGAGTTCAGATCTAGACTGAGCTCTTTTATGGGCACTTTGAATAATTTTCATTTGATGACCTCTGCATGGAAATTGATCTGACATTATTATGGCCTGCTTTGTATTCATTGCTAGAAGAGTGCCTTGAATCTCTTTTTTCATTTAGTTGTTGATTATTCATCCATCATCATCTTCTTATCCAGGGTCAGGATTAGGGATTCTTTGGTTATCCAGACAAATTCAACAGAGCCCTTTTGTACTTTTTCAGCAAGTTTAAAAGAAAAAAAATTATTTACTGAGTTTCACGTCCTACACAGTGTAACCATAGTCCACAACCGAATGCCTTGCTTGGGGTGTCCTGACAATAACTGGCCCCTACTCACATTTTTCAGCTTGAAGCAAATAAATCTCTTGATCAAAAGTGGCTAAACATTTGCACAGATACAAAAAATATAAAACATTTGTTGACTCTTCAAATAACCAAAGCTACACATACAGACTTACCTGTTACTGGAGATACTGTTCAGCAGCATCATCTTAGGGACCTGGTATCCTGCAATATAGAAACCCATTTAGATTTATAGGTGGAAGAACTGGTCTGAGCATTTGCCATGCATTAGTTGGGACTCGTACTACAGAGAACACCTGTAATACACACAAGCATACAGCATTTAAATACTCACTGGACTTAGCCTTTGTACAATGCATTAGCTCTGTCTAGAACTTAAAATGCATGCAAAGGCTCTCTCACAGACACACATTATAAGAAAGTGTCTCGAGTGTCATATCACCTTTACTCTGGCACTTCATCACCTGAAGAGAAAGGACAAAGATCATAATTTAATTGTTTAAAATCTGTAAATTACTGTACTAGAATGTGAAGAGCATTTGAGCTTGATGACAAGATACTTCAGGACTTCAATATATATAGTGTACTGGATATACACTATATGAATAAAACAAAATATAGGTTCAGGTTATTACCAAGTTAACAGTCCAACAATGGAAACAGTTTAAAACATATTAGACGAGTGATAAATTGAAGGAAAATTCAAATAAAGTGTCTCAGTAATCTGTTGTTCCACCATGTGCCACCAGAACAGCTTCAGTGCACATTTTTATTGAAGTCTCTGAACTCTACTGGATGAACACCATTCTTCCACAAGCTATTCCCTCATTGGGTGTTTTAATAATGGTGGTGGAGACTTGTCACTTCAAAATCTCCCATATGTGTTCACCTGGGTTGAGATCCGGTGACTGAAGGCCACAGCAACTGATTCATATCATTTCATTCTCATTAAACCATTCAGTAACCCCTCGTGTCCTAGGAATGGGGGCACTATCATCCTAGAAGAGACCACTCATTTCAGATTTTTCCTTTAATTTGTCACCTGTCAGTAACTACATGTACTGTAACCACCATTAAGTATTTTATTAGTATTTCATTCATACAACAAAAGTACATTTACCAAATACAAGCTGTATTATAAAGTGCTAACCCTAACTTTTGCACCATTTACTCTCTGGCCACACAACAGGATGTGATTTACAGTGCACTATTAAACAGAATTTGGCTACTACAGTACAAGTTATTACATATACTCATTGCTGTCCTGCATAAAATATGCATGTTTTCAGTCTCAGGGCGCTAAGAAAATATGACTAATAAATTTAATGAGGTCAGCTGTCACAGAAAAAATCTAAATCCTCAACTGTGATAGGCTTGAAATGTGTATAAAACATTAACAGTTTTGCATATACTCTTAGATAAGAAACTCAAAGTATGTATTCAAGAAATTACATACCAGTCTTTTGGTAATGTCCATGAACTCATTTTTCATTTCAGGTAACATACTGAGGGCCTTACCTGAGCAGATACAGCAGTAACAATTATACTTCGTGTAGACATAAGCGGCGCTGACAGTTATAAGCAGACATGTGATGGTGTTATTACTCACCTGAGGTTGCACAGGCCACAATGAGAAGACATAATAATGTTCCCCGATTTGGAGCCATGGTATAAACGCCTGCCTGCCTGTTGAAAATGACACCATTTAGACTACAAGTGAGTTTTACCTTTACCTTTTAAAATTATATTTCTCTATGGAGTTTCATTTCCATGACATGAGAATTAGTTGAATTTTCTTATTAGCTCTCCAGCTGTAATGGAGCCCGTCTCCATGCAAGCCACCAACAGTTTACTGACATAACATCGTCCTCTGAGGATTTGTTATCATACCTCCCTAATTACTGCACCATCTCCATTACTCACATCCTGTGGGAAATTTTGTGGACTGATAACTTGCTATGAAAAACAAGGTCACAGTTTGTACAGGGGAACACTGCATAACATCTTTGCTGACTTCTCTTCCTCAATCACTTCTCCAGAAGCATATTAGAATTTCTCACTGCACCCCGTTTGAGGTCCCTTGAGTTGGCATTTTGCCAACATTTAATTATTTGCTTTGCATTGATTTGACCTCTTAATTGTGCACAAGATGACCACAAATGGCTGAGCAATTTTAGTATTACTAGAATAATTTAATTACATCCCCAAATCTTGAAGGGTCTCTTGTAAAGCCAAACAAGATTGACAAATATATTTACTTATTGTAATTAACATGATATTAAAAGGTAGTCATCTATCAAGAATACACACAAATCTAGTAACACGTATCATGCCTGTTATTTTGTCAGCATTACGGTTTAAACATTGCATAAAATTAACAAATCTCAACTCCCAAAAAGAAGAAAAATTAGTTACTTACAGACTTGGTCTCTCCTGCCTAGTAGACTTTAGAAACAAAGCAATTAAAACACAGAATGTGGACAACGTGAGGATGTGGTTGTTCTTCCTCTGGCTCTCCCACTTCTGATGGGAGCTGGATGGGTGGTTACCTCTTCTCAACTGAGACAAAGCAGGTGCATGTTATTAAAACATTGTGTGTGTGTGTGTGTGTGTGTGTGTGTGGAGAGAGAGAGATCAACAGGCTGAGATTATGAATCATATGAGATATCCATTTTAAATAACAAATTCTCATGTCAACCAATAAACTCATCCCTGCCAAAGGGAAGATGGTCATTTAAGTGTTTTCATCATTTGTGAAACTACAGCTTTCATTCTAATCATTTTCTAAAAACACTATAGACCGAAAACTCTGACAATGATACACAATCCTGAAGGACAGGCTAACAGATCGAACACTGTTTGGAGGAGCAGTCTGTAATCATTTCCTTATCACTTCAAATTAAAAGTCATAAAAGACGGTTGGGACTCAATAACCCACACACCACAACCCAATACCGAGCTGTATTACTCACATACAATTACATAGCCAAAAACACATAAGAAAAGAAACAAACTACTGTACATTTACTCTTCATGCAGAAAGCTGGTAAACATGAAACAGTAGCAATGTCCCCACACAGTTATGCAGGTGATGTGTCAAACATTGTGCAATGTCCACAGGGTATCATCTTCTCATTAAACTCATTAGGAACAGCACATTAACATCTTCCCTGTTAGCTGGCTTCCTGCATCTGTAGACTAACAAACTTATTACTGTAGCATCTTCATTTTTACTAAATTCAAGTCCATACATGTGTTGCTCTGAACAGAAAGAACAACCACACAGCACCATGACTGTTGGCGTGTTTCACTCCATGCCACAGTTTCCTTCCACTCTGGAGCCAATAGTTGCATGAAGGTTTGGGTTGGTGAAGTGATCTGAAAAAGACCAGTGACATGGGATAGTGGGTGAGATTATCCTTGTGTGGGTGTTAACAGCATTGTTTATATGGATCCCCGTTAGTTATCTCCTCAGTATCAACCATTCTTCATGGGGTCCATTTACAGGATAAGGCTGGTGTTATTCCATGTGCCAGCATCTGTCTCATAATTTCTGAAGTCCCTACCATCAGTGGCACTAGCCCATTAAAAAGAATCTGTAAATCCCTCAAACAACTGGGCACTGTAATTTTCAAACTCAAACAGAACAAAATATTGGATTTGTTAGGGACGTTGAGGTGTGGATTCATACGCATTTAGGAGGCTAGTGAGCATTTCCATTACCAGGACAGGACAGTGTGGCTCAGTGAAGTACTTTTTAATCGTCTTTGGATGACAACAGTGGTCTGAATCTCTAACGAACTACTCTGATTACACAGACGGTACTTGGTAGCAGGATCAATTCATTCTTGATCTGGTGTTTTCATTGGATTAGACTTCTACATTATCTATTATTCTACATTATCCTTACAATACCATTACAACCAACAATAAAATTACACCATAACCATGTACTGTGTGTGTGTGTGTGTGTATATACATGCTCAGCTCACCTGCAGCAAACTCATGGAGGTTAGCAGGTCTTTTAAGAAGTACCTTTCTGAGAGAGGAGGATGGACATAAATAACTGAACAACAACCGTATGTCTATGAAGAAGGCTCCCCCGGTTGGTTTATAACTAAAGGTTCACATAAAGAGGTGATCAACTGCAGATATTATACAATTATATCCATTCTCTTATTTTAAAGGATAAGGCTAGTGATTTTTTTTATATTTTGTTACAGACAACAAATCCCACACAGAACAAAAACAACAAATTGACTTTACACACAACATCTGTGATATGCGTCTCCAGAAACGTTGTATAATGTTTATGCAATATCTCAAGCATAGTAAAATATACAGGACAATACCTTTTTGAAACACTGGTAAATTACTCTTAATTGTTTGGTTCACAAATAGCCTATGTGCATATGCAAAGCATTTATTGCCCTTAAAATTAAACAAATGAGGCTTAAAGTTACCATTCAAACTCAGAACTGAAATTAATACCACAGAAGGCAGTGGTAAAGTATGCTACACCTACACAATGGAATAGTAGAACTACAAGAGACGATTGTGTCAAAATAAGTTTCACGTTTCAACAAGTTTCTTTTTGCAAATATAGCCCAAACACATACATTTAAATTAAAGCCATTATGATCAACGATTGATCATGAAGGCTTTAGTTTAGACTTTTAGCACAGTGTTTCTCTCACTTTGTTGTTTTTTTTAATGTAAAACAAGAGACACTACTAATTTGTATTGTATATTATTAAACTGTGTGAAACATGGTAAAGCTCTCGTTCATATGTAAAACTATATACTGTTACTACTGATAACTCACTGTCTTAACTAGCCTATAGTTAGTTAGTAAAAGTGACAATTAGCTGGTAAAGAAAAGGGAGCAGCTCTGTAGCTAATAAAACAAACTACAACCTGTTTACAAAAGCTGGTCTTGTTGTTTCTTAGTGGGGTTTGTTTCAACTTCTACTGTAGCGTCTCACTGAGCAAGATCAACTATTAAAAACAAAAGACGAGCTAAGCTAAAGTTACCTCATAAAGTCGCCCATCAATAATTTCACTTCTGGATGGGACCTTAAATAATTCTCATTGTCGATTCTCGTCTTGATCTAAAATTAAAGGAAACCATTAAACATGACCCCGGCCCGCAAATGCACAACATAACAATACACAATCTAGCTGCAGGTGTTAATGTGAGCTAGCGTTAGCTAATGTAGGTTAGCGATGTAAAATCTGTCCAATGTTAATTTAACGTTACCTTGAACTGTCGCAGTTTCTCTTGCTGCTCAGAGCTCAATACACCAAGGTCCAGTTTTATCAAGCCTCCTTTTCCAGCCATAATTTCTCTACAAATGTTCGCCTACAAGTTCGAAACAATTTTTAATCACAAAAATGGTCACCTGTTACTGACACAGCCCCTACTCTCTGGCAACAACTGTTGCTGTGGAGCCGACCTCCAGCAATTAATAGCTGTCTCCAGAAGGGGGCAGTACAACCCAGGAAAACTTCACAGCTGCTGCAGTGTACATTAAATCATTTGTTTGTAAATAAAATTCATGTTTAAAGGCGGAAATAACCTCACAAATATACGGCAGTAACACAGAATTGTTATGTCAGCTTAGTCTACAAGGCCTATAAAAGAACTTTCTCAAAAATCCAACTTTCTGACTGTAATAGTGTCTATCTACCACATAGACACCACTTTCCACATAAATCTCATTTCATCAAGCTTACCTGATGAAGCCCTTTCGGGGGGCTGGATGGTTAAGCAGCCATTTAAATTTAGCTATGGTTATTGAAAACTTAAAATATCCTTTTGACGTTTGTCTGTCAGTATCCCAGCAGGGCCCCAAGGGGGCTCTAGGCAAAAAGGAAATGCATTATAGTTCCCAGTTTCTGCAGCTCCCTGTGAAATGTCAGTATGTTTTTCAAGCTTTATAAGGCAGAATTTGGGTGAGTATTCCTGTGGATGCCTAGTCTGTGTGTTAACCTCTAGAGTCCTGAGCTTTGGAAACCCAAGCTGTGCGGTCCTCATATGAGGACGCAGGGACTCTAGAGGTTAAGTGAGTGGGAATTTGATTTTAATCCATTTCTGTCACAAAGCTGAGACAAAAAGTCTTCAAAGTAGATCTGAATACAGTTTAGCAAAATCTACATACAGTATCTCATCAACTGGTATTTAACTTTATATACACAAACAAGTTTGCATAGGGTTCTAGGGCAATTTTCTGCTTTGCAGAACTCTTAAGGTCTTCTTTTCATTCTTCTTTCTTTGGAGCACATAACCCTAAACAAGACAACCAGCCAAGTTTAAATCAGCCTGAAAGGCAAGAAAATAAGTTAATGGGAATTTGTTTTGACAGCAACTTTATTTTTCAAACTTTATAAAAAAATATGAAAGCTTAGAATGTGAGTGATATATTTAACAAACCAAAATTATATACAAGAAGAACATGATATGCCAGACACAGGTCCTTACAGCAATTAGATGTACATATTATCAACATTTTAAATAGGCCCAGACATAGGAGAGTAGCCAAATGCTGCTCTTAAGACAAACACAACAAAAATATTTTCAGAGGTATTTTAGGCATGAGAAAGAACAAGCAGTTCCTGAGGTTACTTTCAGTAGATGCTCTTTAAAGAAACACAAAATGTCAAGTCTGAGACAAATAATGAAACCTAGTGATGATAAGGATTAAATGACAAGCAGATATCTACACCAATTAACAATAATAAGGTTGACCAGTGAGACCCCCATGTTTGCTTTCCACACTAAATTTAACCCAATTACCTGAAAGCATCCAGTTGAAACCACTCATCTATATAGTAAAAGTGCCTGCTTTATTGTTACAGCTAACAATAAAGATTATATCCATCTCTAATAACGAGCAAAGCAGATTCAGTGCTAGCTCTCTTTGTCTAAAGTAGAAGCATGTTGTGAAAACAATAAATATTGATGCAGAGCCCTGATGCATATAGGTTCTACACAGGTGGCAGCTAACAACCCTCAGCTGCTCTTAATTGGGTTTAATTAGCATGATGACCACTAGCATTAGTAGAAAGTTCTTTAAAGGGGATGAGTGTGTAATAAATCATATCAATATGACACTTACATTACAGTTCAATGGACTCACAACCGTCAAAAACAAAGGCAGTAAACTTGATATCAAATATAATAGGCTTCACTACTTAAAAAAAAACTCTGTGGATGGAATATACTCTACGCCGAAGATGGGGATAGTACTGACCTTTTTAACACTTGCACAAGCTCTGAAGTGAGAAACAACGATGAAATGATACAAAGTACTTTAAATATTATAGCTGTCACTCCTGGAACACAAAGTAACATGTGTTGTTGAAGTGCATGACTTCTATCCTCTCCTGAGGACTCTCTTCTCCCTCGTTTTCTTCTTCCTCTTCTTCTAATGTGCTCGGTAGTGGTTCTCTACAAGGTGAAGAGGCAAAGGTCACCATGGCCTGTCCTTCTGGGGCTGCTGGGGTGGAAGGCGGAGGCTGAGAAGAGTTACCGCAGGGGGTGATGACATTCAGATGGTGGAGTTTAGACATAAGTCTGCCCTTATGTCTGACAATAAAAAAGAGGTTCAAATGAAGAAGTTGATTGGCTCACAAAGCAATGCTGAAATTAATTTGCTGAGGTTTGAAATATACTGTAAGATGTCAGTTCACTGGCCTTTGTTTAACTCATGCTGTTATCTTAATCATTTTTGCTGTAGAGCAGAGAATATTGTTTGCTATATATATATATATATATATATGAGTAAATCCAGATTTTACATACAAAAACATAACCACATGTACATTGAACACCAGCTGTCTTGTTACCTGATTATGAAGACAGCCAAAATGACTGATAAGAGAACACATGAACCAGAGATCCACAGGATGGAACTTGGCACCACCATGATTTGCGTTGGTTTAGGAACCGTTTCTGTTTTAAGAGAGGGGGCACTGAGAGAAATTCTATGGACCAGAATAACATCTATGCAAGTATATGTTTGGGTGTGACTGAATGTGTGTGTGTGTGTGTGTGTGTGTGTGTGTGTGTGTGTGTGTGTGTGTGTGTGTGTGATGGGTGTGTTGAGCCATGCTTCCTGTGACTTGTTTCGTTGTTGAGCCTCAGTTATTATGATGACATGGCTTCCTGCTAAAACCCAGTGGGGCAGAGGGGATTTTCAGCACTAACAACACTTAAGAACTCTCTCTTTACTTCTGTCTTACACACAAACCTAATTAACCATAATATTTTACTGTCTGCTAGCTGTCTTACCATTACATAGGCAGTCATCTGCGGACCCTTCCGGCGGTATTGTAAACTGTTGGTTAAAGGCAGTAACACAAGAAACTGTGTAAGTTTTTGCAATAAAATGAAAAAGGGTAAGATCATGAATCAAATAAACAAGTTGCTATTGCTCTTACCGGTGTGGAAGACAAATCTGAGGAGGGAGACATGCATAAAGATAACATGTCATTAAAAATCCTGACAGGAAGGAAGTCTCTCCAGAGTTACTCATCAATCAAGACATTAAAAATTATAAAAAGTAAATACATATTGTATTTTATTAGTGTTTGTTGGTTTGTGCTGATCTGGATCCAGGAATTTTTTTACAGGATTCTTCACCACTGTGAGATAGGGCCAATTTCAGTATTTTTCCTTTTAAGTCCATACACAATTGACTTAGAATAAATGCTTGGACAAAAACTGCACAATAACATCCACATAAGATCTACCACACAGTGGATTCAAGGAATATTCCAGTTGTGGTGATCCCAAATGTTCACATTTATAGGGTTCATGAATAGTGGCTACTGTGAGACAACGAATAAAGCTACAGACTTGCAACTAAGATCAACTTTAATAACTCAGTAAGATGTCAGCAGATTTGACTTTTCCAAAGTTGCTGAGCTAGATCCTGAAGAAAACTGCCATTACTGAAATATTGTACTTCTTGAATGACTTTCAAGCTAATAATGATATCAAGATAATTCCAAATGCTAGGGGCAGATTTTCATGATAAATCATAATATGAGGGTCAAACTATCATGTGAATATTGGTTTTAGGTGTAATGGCATTATGGGGACATTGATCTGCCTTGATGGAGGTTTACACTCTCTGAGTGCTGTCTGGTCAGCAGCAAATACAATATATCACAATAAATGTGAAGCTAGAGGAGGAGACAATGAGCTTAGCTTATCTTAGCTTAACTTAGTTTAGCATGTAGCATAAAGACTAGAAACAGGGGGAAACATAGAAACTGGCTCTGTCCAAAGAAAGAAAATCACTAACCAGCACTTAAGCTCACTAATTAACACATTGTAACTAATTGATTTAATCCATATAGAATTTGTCAGACAAACATCAGAAAAAGGTAAGAAGAGAGAGATAAATGTATTAGGTTTTAATGAGGGTGTACTCATTTCTGCTGAATATGTGTATGCTGTATATTCTAATAATAATATTGTCTGCCAAATGGCCTGTTATAATTTTCAAATGGCTTGAGTAGAGATGTTTTTGTCATGTGTATACATTTGTATGCATTTACCTGTCCAACTGCTGGCATTGACAGGTGTACTCCAGTCACTCCACTGACCGTCATATTCCTCCCTATTTCTCAGCTGTATCTGGTACTGAACACCAGGCAGGGCATCTTGGATAGTGTGGAAGTGATCATTTTTTACTAACTTCACCTATGCAGACACATGCAGACAGACAACCACATAAATACACATCACACTGTCATCAACTAAAACAGCAGAGCTTTTATTTGTTTCAGGCCAGAAGAACAAACATATTTGGCCCAATGTTGAGGCTCCAGTCTGACTGATCAAGATGTATTGTTTGGGTGTGTCCATGTTCATTTTGGTAATTTGACGGTTCAAGCGCCCCTGAAAGTAGCCAAAGGGCTGTACCTGATCTTCCTATTAAAGCAGGGTGTGGTTTGGGTGTAACATGCAATTATCCAGTGTGCACGCACCTACATAGAGTCGCATCACAGCGTGGTCAAAGCACCCATTAATTAGCAATGATGACTTGATAATGGCATGGTAGACATGGTTTTCGCTGGTTAGCGGCCACTTTGTGCACCCTCATATTACCAATGCGCCCAAAACGCACCCCATTTTCATCAGGACACACCCGCCACAGCGAAGCCGGCAGACTGCTGTTTGGTAAAGGCACTACGTGATGCTCATGTCATGAAAAGGATAATTGCGCAGGTAGAAAAGTATGCATTTGTTCCAAGATAGGGCCCATTGACTGTGTATGGCACATATGTTCATAAATCTGCCATACCCAACCACTTGGTCGATTAATACACACCTGATAATATGAGGACGCGAGAGGCTTGTACCGGAGTTCATAGTATAGATTATAGTTTTTGTCTTGAGGTTTCCAGGTGATCGGTAAATTCCATCTGACCGTAAGGCATGTCTCGCATTCTTCATCCTGCTGTACCTTCACACCCGATGGAGGGTCCGGCTTTACTGTGGGGGAAGGAAGGAATATAGCGAGTGCAGCTTCAGAGTGGTTTACATCAGAACAGAAACTCATGCTGACATTGCTAGACTGGCCTGGACACACCAACTTACAAATATGCCAAGGTGTGAAGTGTTGCATTTCGCTGGTGGCATTGCCTGCGATGTTTCTAACACATAGGTAGACGTGATGAGGTGTTCGCATCTCATCCTCATTGTATTCCAGAGCGCACCAAAAGCGGGAGAACCGAGGCGAGTATGAGCACGGAATGAATGTTTTAAATGACCTAAGAGGTGATGAAAGAAAAGGCAAAGAAAGAAACAGAAAAGGCACCCAGTCAGAGACGTTGTTTCAACCCAATCCACCCCTGCATCTGTATTATGTTCTGGGGTGCGAAGATGGCCTAATGGTCCTGCTGGGGACACTTTTTGCACGGTATGCCATCTCTCTACTGTCAGCTATCTACTTCAATAAAGACCTACATTCAAACCCTTTCTGCACTTCTATTTCAACCACGTGCACCTAATGCCAAAGACTAAAAATAGAAAACGACTCTTCCCAAAAGAAACACAATAAAGGCATATTTTCCATCTATAACATGTCAGTTATTATACTGGATATACTGTGTATAAATATGGCCACTTTATTAGGTGTACCTGTACAATTGTATGCAATTCAATGCAACACTTCTGCCTTAACATCTGTGTTTATGAAGCTCAAAATGTTTCACTTTTTGGTTAAATTCTCATAAATGGATAAATTCATTTATATGTTTATTATTAAGGTCATAGTTCAAAGTGATGTGGTACTGGACTACACTGTATTCAGAGGTGTTCCTAATATTCTGACCCTCTCATGTATGTAGCTGGGGAGGACAAAAATATAGAGTCAGCTCTAAGTATGTGGTCGAAATTGATGTAGTATAACTGATTGTATGGAATGGTGGCGGTGTAGGTGAGGATTTAAAGTGTTCTGTCTTTACCTCTTATCCAGTACAAGATAACAGGTAAACGGCCTGGTAACAGGCTTCCGAGGTGTCCACTGACAGCGAATCTTACTGCTGGGTGACTTTTTGGAGCAGGACAGGTTGGGCTTCTCAGGAGGATCTAACCAGTAAAGAAGACATGCAGACATAATGTACATTAATTCAGCTAGTAAGTCATTTCATAAACATACCTACATCAACCACAGAATAATGCTAATCATGCTGCATTTGAATTCATTAGTAGGATTATAGCTATAGCTAACTATTATTTTTGCTTATTTTGTCAATTCAACTTTTGATTTTTTATTATTTGAAATGAATGAAATTACAATTATGCCAAACAGATAAAAATGTAAATTCTCACACCTGAGAAGCTGAAATCAGGGAATGTTTCCTATTATTGCTTGACAAATGACTTAAATGATTAATTGCTATGACATATCAGAAATCAAGTTTAAATTGGGCTGCACTGTGCACAGCTTTACCAGGTTCGGGGCACGCATGCTGGCTCACTGATGTCTAATCAACTCCTACTTTTATATTCTACAAGAATAAGTTTAAAAAACACCATGTGGGTTTGCTGCTGCCTTAAATAGTCTTTTATCATGGAGGACCCTTTGACATTTCACAGAAGTAAAAGAACAGGTGCAAATATTTGGTGGTGGAGGCTGGTTTACAAGGACACTTGAATACAACAGAGCCATTAGTGACACTTGTGCTTTTACTACTATGACGGATCAAAATGCATGCTCTGAAAAAAGGCCTGGTATCATGAGAAAAAACATTCCAAAATAAAATGTCAGATAACAAAAATGCCAACATACAGTATCATAATAAAACCATTTTACATAATAATAATGAGCAAGGTGAACATGCCACAGCCCCAGTGTGATGGCACTTATGTACAAGGTATCTGCTTTTACATCATTATTCCCTTTTTTTTAATATTCTGCCAAATATGATCAACTAACACACACACACACACACTGTGTTTTCATTCTTTGTGGGGGCTTTACATTGATTTACATTTATTTCCTGTAGACTTATCCTAACCTTAACCATAGCCACACACACACACACACACACACACACACACATACACTGTGTTTTCATTCTTTGTGGGGGCTTTACATTGTACATTGATTTACATCACACACACACACACACACACACACACATACACTGTGTTTTCATTCTTTGTGGGGGCTTTACATTGATTTACATTCATTTCCTGTAGACTTATCCTAACCTTAACCATAGCCACACACACACACACACACACACATACACGTAAGATCATTTACCTAGGACTAATCATAAAGTGTGGCACATTTCATCACTAATGTCAAACTATTTTTGTTTTAGTCAAATTTTCTCTATCAAAACATGCCACAGTAAAAGAAGAGATATCCTTTGGTTCAAATCAAACCTGACATGTCACTTTACTGCTGTGACTCACCTGCAACTATGACTCTTACAGAGAACCTCTCTCTCCCCCTGTGATGACAGGTATAGTTTCCAGAGTCTTCCACTCTTACTGATGACAGAGACAGAAGAGACCCTCTCCTCTCAAGTGTGAGTTCTCCTTGGTCTCTATTTCCTTTCCCCACTGTTTTCCCATTCAACTTCCACTGGGGCCATGATTCTAAGCCTCTTGTTACCCTGCTTCCGCCTGCTCCTTCCTCCTCCTCCATATTATCCTCATAATAACCCTCAACGCCCATCTCTTCAGTCTCAGACTGACCCCTTAGCAGTCTGCTCACGCTGGTTGGTTGGACCACACGAGTGATGGGAGAAGCTGTATATCCTGTATATGTGGGGCGTCTGTTTTCTCCTGTCACAGCACTGACTGCTGTGTCAGGGCTGTAGCGATGTCCCTCAGTTGGCTTTTTGGTTCCAGTGGTTGTAGGGGCAGCTGGAAAACTCCCTCTTTTGTTCCTGTTTGAGTTTCTTGCAATGTTGACTTTTACTCCGTCCACTGTTACATGACCTCTGCAGGTTAGAAGCAACGTACTGCCCGAGGATAAAACCAACACACCAGGAGTAGGATCTGCACAGAAAAACAAACAACAAAAACATCATTTATAGAATTATTAAAAAACAAATGTGCATGCTTCCTGACTTGAATTGTGTGGCGTATGTATGGCTTGTTTAGTACACAGTCATACAGTATTGTACAAAATGTCAAGTTCCATTGTCTTGAGTATTGGTCACAGCCGACTACACAGCACAGACAGGATTCAACATTGCATAACCAAAATGACCAGTTTCTCTGCGTTGTAGGTTCTTTTTCTGTCCTAAAACTTGTCCTCTTTGCGTCATCTCTCATTTGCTTAGATTTCTGATATCCCCCCTGATTAGGCTATTCAAATGTTCTTACTGCACTTATAATGTACACAGACGATTAAGACCAAGGTTAAAAGCACATTTGTTTGAGGTAATGATTGGCGTGTAGAGAACTTATCAAAATAGAACAGATATCCTGAAATGAGAAAGAATAATTTAAGGTCAGCCTCCTGGCTGAACTTAAACAACTTAATCACAGTAATTTGCGGGCGGGGGGGGACGACTAAATTTAGGACAACTTCTGATCAAAAAGTTGTTTTTTTATATATATAAGTATATTTTTTCTAAGACCCCACAAAGCTTAAAAAGCCAGTTTTGAATGAATGACAATACAGATCATTTTAAAAACTCTTCTCTACAATATTTTTAAGTGAAGCATTTGGAAATATGAAAATTTGCTGTCGAATTTTATCTAAAAACAGATTTGGGAAAAAAAAAATGTTTAGCATTGTGCGCATACCGCAAACAAAGTAAACTGGCAGAAAATTTATTTTTACTTGATTTATATCATAAATCCAGTTTCATCAACAAATGAAGAGAATCTGAATCAGTGCTATTGACAACTGAAGGAAGGAACGAAACATCTTGACAAGGATTACAAACAAGGTTTAAGACTTAAGCTCAGCCGTAGGAACATTATAATTTAGCTACGTTTATCCGGGGAGCTTACCTTCTCTGGGACAGGTTATATCGTACACACTGTCGACCTGCGCAGCGCACAGAACCCACAGCAAAGGGAGAAAAATCCGCATTTTGCGCATCAAGTTCTCTCTGCCGAGTCGCTAACGCTTTGACAGCAACAGCTGAAGACTGTTGTGACTCTCATCAAACTTTTCACACCGTTAAAGTTAGACCAACAACGGACTGCCCCCACCTACAAAGGCGACACTTCAAGCACAGTTACCGGCTTCCTGTGGCTGCCGTCTGCTGTCCATAAGACCCGTTATTGTGAAATCCCAGCGCTCTTCCCCTTGTTCAGCACCGTTACAGAGGAAATCCTCTTCAGCGTCAAAAGAAACCCCACATGGCAGCTGAATATAGGCCTGCATTAAGAATTTTCATTTTTAAAATATCTATCACTGCATTTTTTATATATATATATTGTCAGATATGCTGCAGCTACTTAATTATCATGATCTCTATCATATATTCTAATTTCTGTATACTATAACAATACTGCACTATGTACTTTTATATAGGCCTTGATGCACTGTAACTGTCTTTTATTCTAAAGAAAAAAAAATCACATTGCTTTTTGATTTGCACAATTGAAAAAAGATCAGTTTCTATTCTCTGTTTATATTTGAACCTCTGCCAACAGAAAGTGACGGTGCACCAAAATAAAGTAGAGGACTAAATGGTACTGCTACCACAAAAAGTACCACAGAATTGTTTTTGTGGTTAAACTTAAGACATAAAAATATTCTCACGTTCTCACCTTTTCACTTTACTAAATTTCACCCTCCAGTGCTTCTTGCAATATAGTCACTTCTAAATTAGCCTTTGGTTGCTCCAGCACATATGACATTTGCATGGACACAGTGCTTTCATGTGTTTATTGGTCACCATTTACTGTAACAGCTCCAAATTTTCATACATTTTGCCTTGCTTTTGAAAATCATGTCAACTGTGTTGTGTTTTCAGCTCCTCTGATTACAGATATATGAGAACAGTGTTATACAGTACTGTTCCTCTGGTTACTCTACTAAAATGTTTATCTCAGCTCAGTGTGCTGGGTTAGTATTTGCAACACATATGGGGTGTTATATTTGACTGATCCAAAACCAGGAAACAAAGGACACAAGGCCACATTTTGGGGTATTTTAAGGCATGATTAGCCCCAGACACACTCCATTCATTCATGGACAAGTAAAACTTTAAAGCACCTTACTGCATGTATACAGTATGAACCTTCACCACTGATTGTGCACAAAATGACATGTATTGTATGATTGGAGAATATGACAAACCACTTTTAAATTTCTAAAACTGTCTTTTTGATTTGCACAAATATTCTTTGCACTGTGTCCAGGTCCAACCTAAGGTAACCCTGTCGCAGCTTGTCTTTTTATTCTGTTCTACAGCCTGTGGTGGTATGAGAGACTACATCAGATGTACATCATCATCATCTGGCCCTTTGTCAGACCAAATAAAGGTCTACCTTAAAAGCACAAGAAAAAGCACTAAAAATTTGCTTTAAGGTGCAACTGATCTAGCCCATTATAAAACACATCAATATGATGCACGAATGAAATGGAAACATGCAGAGTAAGAAAACATTTCATGAGAGATAAGGAACACAACTTTTCTGTAATTTAAAGTACCGTTCTCACTGAGAACTATCGTTAACACAGAGGCTTGAGGATATTTTTTTGACAGAAAAAAACTTAAACACATAATATTAGCTGTGCCTCACTGGTTAAAAGTCTTGTTATTCTCCTCATTCATTAAACCATTGTTGCTTTAGATAGATGCTGTGTGACTTGACCTGGTGAATCCTTCTGAAATAACAAGGGGAAACTATCTTTTATATAATTATTAGCAGGTTACCTGAACCTCTTTCTCTGCACCTGCTGCTCATTCATGAGCACAGTCAGCATATGCTGAGGGAACATGTACAGTATATCCCTATTAAATCACAGTTAATAGTTGCCAAAGTCCACGTCATCAGGAAGAGCCACTTCCTCCTGTGATTCAGATGTGACTGATCTATTTTGAGACTTATCAAATTTGCAACTGAGAGAAGTGCTGAGGCCTCATTATCCTTCTGGAGAAGCACATAACATATCCTGTACAGTATGTGCATAAATCTGCCAGACAGCTGCAAACAAGTTTCTTCATTTTGTCTGAATGTTTCACTCAAGCTGGCTGGTTTCCTTGGCAACAGAGGGTGCACCTGGGCTGTTGGATGCATTGGTGTGAACTGCAATACCCTTCCAACCAAAGAGAGCTTCCTATTGGACAGAGGAAGAGTTGACTGTTAACAAGTCATGCATTAGTGTGTATGAATCTATGTGTTACAATAGTTTTTTTTTTATTGACACATGAATAGCAAATAGGAGTAGTTCACCTGCACAGTTCCTAGAGAGACCGTCCAGCCTCCTGGTGAGTCTCCGCCATGGTACCTCACTGCTGGGGAGGTGAAGATGCCAGTACTGAGGGCCAAAGCTGAATCCTGAGGTGCAGTTGCTTCTGAATCTGGTGCTAAAGCTGGTTGAGTTTGTGCAGATGAGGTGGGAACAGTCTGTGTATTTTGAGCTGATGCTGTACCTACATCCTCCTCGATGGGTGTGTCTTGTGAGCCGCCTAGAATGGAGGAGGAATTTGAGAGCGGTGGAACTGACCCAGAGACACAACTGGGTGCTGAACTGCACTCCTCCGAGGTGCTGGGTGGAGTGTGAGTGTGAGTATGTTTCTTCCTGCGGAGCGTGTCAATCCAGCTGGAGCTGTGTCTGGAGGCAAAGGTGGCCAGGGCCAGAGACGAAAGCCTCATGTTCTTCCCTGAGGTGATCAGCTCTCCAAAGCCCTCCTGGTGGGCAAAGGCGTAGCCTGACCTCCTAGATCCACCACGGGTGCCCAGACGGCCCTCTGACACGCTGCCTGCGCTGCGCCAACCACCTCCTGCACTACGACTTACCGCCTTCCGTTTCTTTTGCCGCACAAGCTGAGTGTAGCGCACCTGGAGACCGAACAGAGGAGAGAAAGAGGGACATCATTTCCAGATTTAGTGAACAGGGAAAAAGAAAGAAGAAAAGCCGATGGTGTAAGAGCCTATTTATTTGGGTGCTTTATACATCAGAAGCCTTTCATAAAAGCCTTCCATTGAAACAAAAAGTTTGCAATTCAATTCACCTAAAAGGCAATTCAGAAAGTGATGTGTAAGCCTAGGTTTTTGAAATACTGGGACATTTAATTTTTAAACTTTTTTCTATTGACAACTCTCTTGGTTGCTCTTAAGTCACTTTCGTTTCCCTTGCTATTGCTATTTTTACACACACACAACTGTGCATTGCAATAGGTCATCAAATTGTCTTTGCTGCTTTTTTAACCTGATGGAACAAATTCGAAACCTTTTGTACACTTATTCCCAGCACACAAACTGACTGAAAGGAAACTACATATAATTCAAAAAAGGGAACTGCTTCCTGACAGTGGCTTCGGTTGGACACAGTGGCTGCCAGTGTATATAGTGCACAGCTTATAAACCAACTTGTGTGATTAGGGTCCATTGATTAAGTCAATATTTGCAGGGTTTTTAAAGTGCATGAGGACAGTGACGATAAGCATCAACTCATTATCACACACTCAGAGAGACTTGTTTGTACAGGTACAGTTAATCATTGGCAGAGCCCAGTTTCATGCGGATATGTGCAACATTGACATATGCTGCAATGAAGAAGCCGGAGACAGGAGTGTAAGAAACTGTGTTTTTGTGTATTTTCTCACCGTGTCTGAGAGCCGAGGTCTGAGGGCCAGCTTGAGGAAGCGGACTGCCAAAACTGGAACTATGCATATTGCTGTCGCCAGTGCAATAGTTAACCACACGACTGGCTGCAATAATGTGCTCTGGGCACTGCCTGCAATTACAAACATACATATAGACACAAACACATGAGCAGCTACGATTTACAGAATTTCACAAATACTGTATATGCACATTATTAATCTTTATGTAATGCTGTCACTGGTGGAGTGAAATGAGCCCACGTTATTGACAGATATAAACCTTTTACATATATAAATGTAATATAAATATAAAGATGCGGTGTATATGTTTGTTTATTGGCTGCATTTTTATATAGGTTTTACCTTAGTTTTACTGATTCAATTTGAATATGTTTTTGTTTTAATTAGCAGTTATTTAAAGTACAAATGTTTTGGTTAAATTTGATAATCCAGATGTATTGAAAAAAAAAATCCTCTCTTTGTTTATCTGTCAAAGTTCTGTAATAAACATATCTGACTCAAATTTGACAGATGACATATTTTAATACATTTTGTGAAAAATTAATTTTGGTTGAGTTATTATGTTTTTAAAACTGAAATATCTATGTTGACATTAGCCACAACAATACAGTACTCGTCAGGCTGTATGAGGTGGATGTGTGTGCAAGACATAAACAGAAAAATGGGACCGACCTACAAAGTGGAACTGACTGGGAAAGATCCTGAAGAGGGTCTGACTGTGCAAAGCGAACATGATGGTGAAGTAGGAGCCCAGAGAGCCCCACACACACACATGGTTGATAACTGTCCAGAAGCCTGTGCCAAGTGCGATCTACACACATGCAAAAAGTATCAGACAGTTAATACACTAGGATGAAACAGTTATGTTAAATGTAGGGGTTGCCAGCTGTGGGGTACGCTAACACAACTCTGGCCTCACTCACCTGTACACTGACCACAATGACCAGGGCTGTGGCTGTGGTCATGGCGAAGGTCTGGTGATCGGCAAGGGGCACTCCAGTGCTCTGAGTGGCATCAGACAGGACAGTGTAGGGGACAAAAAACAGCACCACTGATGTGTAGATGCCCTGGGCGATGCAGATGAAGAACTCTCTTTTGTTGAAGAGGAGGTTGAGCTGCCCAGGCTCGTACAGCTTAGGATACTCCAAACTCCTATGGTCAGGAACATCCTGCAATAAGAGAGGATGTGAAGGGCTGCACTGCAGTTATATAACACTTCTCTATTGTACCGCTCAAAGGACTTTCAGTTTTTGCTGCTCATTCACCCATCCACACACACACACACACCAGGGTATGGCAGAGCTAACATTACAAGGCCACTGGGAGCAATCTGGACTTCAGTACCTGCACTCACAAAGACAAGACTAAACTGTTGTGTTGTGTTAGTAATTACAAAAATTACAGTGAACTTTTTTTTTTTTTTATACCTAGTTTACCCAGTGAATACATGACTAAGGGTCTACAGCTGATGTCACAGATGTCATGACAAGGAAATATATGAGAGGAAAGATTCTTTCCCATATCATCTTCTGCCAGTTATATACACACCATTCCAAAACTGTGAAGACAAAACTATATATTGTAGAACTATTACACATATATATTTGCTCAGCAGTCTACTAATATCACTGACCAGCTTTAGTGCATGGAAGAAAGTCTCTGATCCTGAAACCAGCAGCAGTTATATAGATTAATTTACACACAGCTGCATCCAGTGTACAAAATCCTCTTGTATGTAACTTTATAAACACCTCAATATTTTTAAAATAATCCAGTAACCAATGAGTCTATGGAACTGACTGTAGTGTGCCAGAGGGCACAGCCGGTGGATGCGTCACCCACTTTATCTCCATGTACAGCTGCTTTCAAAGCTGATTCAATCCTCATATCCCAGCAGTATTTAGTTGAAAGAATACAGCATGTACAGTGTGCCTGTAATGTCTATGCATAGTAATAATTTTGAAAAGACCTGATCAAATATCCCCATGGCCAGCACAGGGAGGGATGTGTAGACAATGTTGTAGAGTGTGATGAAGTACTGATCATACACCGTCTACAAGAAAAAAAAGATGGATACACAGAGTGAAAATCATACATAACCAACTTCTAGTCCCTGGTTCTTGATGCTATGTTGTCCCCATGACCTCTACACTCTGACCTGAGCAGAGAAGCCACAGAAGAAGCCGAACCAGAAGTGTACCATGGTGAAGGCAAAGTTCTTGTAGAAGAAGTAACAAAGGAAACGGCACATGCGCAGGTAAGACCAGCGGCCGTGGACCAGCAGGAGGCGCTGAAGGAAGCGGAACTGGGAGAAGGAGTAGTCACTGGCCAGTGCGGCCTGGATCCCCTCCTGACCTGAGATACCAACTCCAATATGGGCACCTGTAAGAGTGGAGAAGAGACAAGAACACACACACACACACACACACACACACAGAGAGCAAAAACTAAGTGAAATAAAGCTGAGAACTCTAGGCCTTTAGTTTTGGTTTGAAATTGTACTTTATGCTCATTAATAAGTGTTAAAAACCATTAAAACTCATTTAGATAACAGAGTACTATGTTTTAATGCAGCATTCTGTTTATGTGTGGTAACTAATATATTTACTAATGGGCAACAGATCATTCCACATTTCAACATTTTAACAAGTGTACTCATTGAATGTCTTGCCTAGAGTAGGATGAGAAGATAGCAACCACTCTCAGGTCTGTGCAGTAAATATGAAACTGCTGCCAGAAGCTAAGCTAAGCTAACCAAGTGCTGAGCTTTTCATCTAACTCTGCAAGAATTTTGTCCATATACAGTGCAACCTTTTCCCACAAGGTAACAAGTAATCCATTTCAGGGTTTTCATTACAAATTAAAAAGATAGAAAATGTTTTCACAACCTGGTAACCCAAAGCTGTTCTTAAAAATGGCTTGTAAATGACCTATAAACAGCAGGAAACAGTTTAACATAAAGCCATTAATCAAAATGTATAATCTTCATAAAGCATGACCTTTTAAACACTAATACACCAAATGCCTCAGATAAAAACATATTTAAGATAAGAATTCAGTTGATAACTCCAGTCATTGATGCACTGCCATTTCTGCTTTGCACTTGCATAAAGTCATTTTAAGAACAACATAGGTATAGATGTAGACATGATGTGCAGACAGAGAAAATCACGCAACACTTGCACAACACAGAATATTACAGAACCTTGGTTATTGGATTGAACTCAACATCCAGGGTTCTTCTTTTGTTTCCCCTTAATCAGCTTGAGAAACTTCATCTTATTCACCACTGACTGACACTTTGATTCTGTATCACCTTGTTCAAGCTATTAATGAGGTCAGAAGGTTGGATACACTGGGTGGAATATTCAAACACTTCATTCCACCAAATCCAAATAATTAAGACGTCCTCATCATTTTACCTTCATTTCCTCAAAAGTTTCACTCAACATAGTTGGTATCTTGGACACGGGAACTTCCACAAGAGTTAAAAATAAAGTGCCTGGGTTTGGTCAGTGTTAGTCTGCACGTTAGCGTGAGTTTGTAATGAGTGGCCACCCTGCAGCTCGGCAGAGATTAAAAGGACACTCAAAACATTGAAGACACCAAGAACCCAGTTCCTAACTTGATGAGGACATCATACCTACTGCAACACACATTTCCACACAGCATCCATCATTATTAGTAACACCACAAACATAAACAACTTCTACTACCATACGTCTGCTGAGAATTTCCATTGCCTTAACGTAGCCACAACGCCAGCTTGGCTAAACTCTACTTCTCTCTTTCTCTTTCCTCTCTGTCTCTACAATAATCTGGTTACACTTCCTCCTCTCCTCTCTGCGGTCCTTCATGTACCCATCTTGTCTGCACAACTCACTTTTGATCATGCCAACATCGTTAGCTCCGTCTCCTATAGCAAGAGTGACGGCTTTCTTGTGTTTCTTGATGAGCTCTACCACCTGAGCTTTTTGCAATGGCGTGACTCTGCAGCAGATCACAGCTTTGCACGCACACGCTGTGGACACAAACTCTGTCTCCATGTCTGCTTCTAGAGCATGGGCCTATCCAAAAACAGGAAAGAGAAAGTTGCAGCTTGGGAAGGAAAAACATGTTAATACATTTCTGGCAACTTTATATTTCCCGACAGTTGACATTTGATGTCTTCACAATCTCTGCAGGTTTTGTATATGTGTATGCAGTTATGTGAACGTGAGGGGGTGTTATTCTTACCAGGCTGTGACCATTGATAACAAGGGCAAATTCTCCAGAGATGTTGTCAGTGAGGTTGGAGGGAGGTGGAGGAGAGCACTGCAGTTGTTTCACTCCTCCTGCAACATCTCTTCCTTGCCCTTCTCTGACCCCATTACCCATGAAACATGCCTCACTCCATCCTCCCGTCCCCTCCTCCTTCCCTCCATCTCTGGTTCGGGACAGCTCAATCATCCTTTCTCTTGCCCTCCTGGAGAGGAAGGCAAACAAATTCCACTTCAACAGGACTTGGCTGTGCCACATAAACAGAACCAAAACAGGGTATATGAAGGAAAAAACAGCAGACATAAATGAAGGATGGGACAGACGGAAAACAGACACAGCTGAGCAAACAAATCAAAGAAGAGAAAAAACAGGAAGGTAGCAGGAGTGGGCTGTGGGCAGACAGGACCTGACCACTTTATGTGTTACATCAGGTGTTTAGGAGCACCTGGATTACTGAATTAAAGTGCATGTGATGACACACTAATATGTTTAGGCTGTTTAACTGTTAGACAGTATTTGTTTTTAGCCTAGTGCCTTTCTTATTTCTGGAGTGGTTTGCATTTAAACTCTTTTAATGATAAAATTGTAGTGATATCTTTCCACTAGTCTTTCCTTTAAAAAGGAACATTTATAACATCACTTAATAAAGTTTTAGGAACTGCAGTGCAATCTAGTGCAAAATGGAATCTGTAGACTGTGTGCTGAGAACCGTGTGTAAGGGGAATAAATCACTGGATCCATTACTGAGCTAATGAGCTGACTGTAAATTTAATTTTTAATGTGCATTTTGAGACTTGTAAGTAGCTTGGTGGTTTTAATGTGTTGATTTGACCAGAGCAGCTAAGTCAAAGCACAAATTAAGAACTGGATATTGTTCAGTGATTCACATACAGTTGCTGGAACAATGTGCTACTGTACCACACCTACTCACTCCAGTCATGCATACACTTCTTAGTTCTTTCTGACCAACACTTGATTTTAGTTTCCAGTGTACAGAAACAGGAAGTACATATATATGCAACCATTCAATTCAAATGAAAGGGCTGACCTGAGTTCCTGCCGTACACTCTGAACAGTGTGCCCACTGATGATGAACACCTCAGTCATATCATCTGTCAGCATTTTGCAGGAGTAGCCTATGTTGACAGCCGTCTCTGTGTGAAAGAGTAGGTTACTGGTGTGCAGTTCATGTTCTGTGCATTTCAGCTGAACATAGTGGAGATACACGACACAGAGAATAGTCTGCAGATTAATTAATAGCTCAGAGAGATCAAACCTTGAGCATTTAAAGGTCTTGTTACCAAATTGAGAAAATTGATACTTTCTCTTACAAAGTGACACAAGTTTAAAAAAAATTATAGCAATAATATTAAGGTGTTCTACTGTGGACACACTCATGAGGTCTAGCAAATATTGGATATTTTTCTGGCTGACTACATACTCTGAGAGCCAGTCTACACATTCTTGCAGCCACAAACCTCTAGAGCTTTGACCCAGCACTGTCTGATTTGGTGACATCACGGTCATCCTGACTGGCCACGCTTATGAAGATGTGTTTCCTCATTTGTTTGGGCCATTGCAAATCTTTAAACACTAGTACTGCTCTTCAAAGCTGTTGTAGAAGTGTGTGCCTCTCACCCTGCTTGTCTCCAGTGAGAACCCAGATTTTAATGTTGGCCAGAGAGAGTATAGCTATTGTCTCTGGGACGCCTTCCTGCAGTTTGTCTTCTATAGCTGTGGCACCCAGGAGCTAGACACACAGGCATTCAGACAGAAACGTGCACACACACACACACACACACACACACACACACACACACACACACACACACAAATTGCAGTATCATACTGGCAGGAAATTTAAGAACATAAAAGCAGTTTCTGCATTATGACGTTAAATGGCTAATGCAGTGGAAAACAAGTACCCACTAATCCAGCTCAAAAAATTAATTTAATCAACAATCAATTAGAAAATGTTGTGTACGCATGTGACAATTCTGATAGCTACTATAAAAGAAAGGAATTTCCCATCACCAATTAGCTAAATTCCCATTTTTAAGGTTCCATTTTTAATTCATCTGGGGAAGCCACTGCATAGGAGAAACAAACAGCTTAGTCAAACTGCTGCTAAAAAATACCTCATCACATTCATGCACACTCTGAAACCAAGCCACTGACCATCATGTCTTGTTCTATCTGATCATAAGTGGCTGCCAGTCGGTCCTCTCTGCAGCTGGTGGCCTTGCCGGCACAGCGGTGACTCTCTGCCCATGCTTCCCACTCGTCTTCTGTCAGGTCTCTGTAGGCCAGGGCTAGGGTCCGCAACCCGTCCGCTGCATACTCCTAGAGCCAAAAAGATGCACTCAGACATGTACAAGCACAAACTGATTTTGCCATGGGGATACGCATGAGGAGAAACAAAGAAATCCTACAGGATGATAGGGTACTGTAGTACTCTGTTGGACTATTATTGGGTTTTTAGGCCAAAACAATGTCGGTGTCTGTAACATATCATGGTGATACACCCTAAAGTACTATATATGATGAGGAAAAAGTAAATCCAGAGACTATAGTGCAGCTCTTTTAGACTGTATGGACACTAGATGGCAGTACAGCTCCATGTAGGAGTTAAAGCGCTTGTGTGTTTACGCACATTGAGGTGATCTGAGGTGATATTCATCAGTTCCTGGTTACAGGGGTGGAGTCTCTCCAACAACACAGTGTCAGCTCCTTTACAATACAGACGGATCCTGCCCTCTGGGTTACGCACTGAAAATGAACAACAGAGGGAAGTGAAAACAAAATACTCCAAGGGATCTATACCACTCTTCTGGTGCCTTCTTTAACAATGTCTTTCCTACATAAAGTGGGTCACACAGACAGTCTGTCTCAGTATTGTCTGGCACTGATGTGAGAGTGTGTGATCAGACCCATGGGGTCTCACTACTCTGCTGCTAGACCGAGATTAATGCTAAGGCGGGAATGATTTACTGTATGACAAGTCATTTCTGAGCATTTTTTTTCAGCTCCTTAAACTGTAAATTGACAAATCACAGGAACTTGTAAAGAAATGTCACTGAGGGATAAAATGCAAACGTTACTTAAAGCTCATCTCCTGTCATCAGGTGCGAGAACATGAAAAGTTCAGTTTAACTGCACTGGTCCAATGGCGTTACACTCAGAAAGTAAATGTTCCTTCTGTTTATAATGTAGTGTCTCAAACTAGAAAAAAAGAGTGTGAACAGTAAAAAAATACTGCATGGGAAAAACTTGTGCTTCTTCTAAACAAATGTCACAATGGAGATGGTGCAGAAGCCTGCATGCCTACAAGGCTTACTGACCCTGTGTGCATGATTTTCACCAAAGACACAAGGGAAGAATCCTTATTTTCACCAAGGTTGCCTGCATGCACCCAACCTTGTTGTTTTCCTGGCTGCATTAAGGTAACAATCACTGTAACTGATGTAAATGATATAGAAATATGAAAGCTTTTTTTGTTCAAAGTAATGAGCTGTGCACACCTATAACAGACATCCTCTTGCGTATATTGTTGAAGTCCAGAATGGCGAGCAGAGTGTAGGTGACAGGTTGCCCCATCTCTCTGATGGTGATCGTCCCAGGTGTTCGGGAACAAAACATAAAGCCGAAGTTTCGAGCTGCAGCGACTAGAGCGCCCTCATCTGGAGACTGAGCCTTATAAACCAGCTCTCCTGGGTAGACAGATAAAATATTAACAAATAAACGACAGATGTGTGTTGGTTTCATTGCTCGCTGACGGGCTCTCCTCCCCCCTCATCATTCTCACCCTCACTCTTCTCCTCACTCATGACGGTGTGACAGAGGGAGAGCAGGCGGAAAAACTCGTGAGTGTGTGAGTCTCCCACTTTGACTGATTCCAGCAGCGTATCGTCATAGAAACAGAAGCCCGGGTCCGCCAGGGGGTTGAAGGGAGTGAAGTCCAATTTCTGAAGATAAATGAAGAGTCAGAGAATCTGATGAACAAATACTGATCTTTCATAATTTAAAAAAACATTTAACCAATCTTAAAGTTGTTAAATAGTAAGCTAATGTTCCCTGATGAAGAGCCACTAATTTGTCTACCTCAAACAAATATCCTCTGTCAGTCTACTTTCTTCTATATCAAGTAACCAATTCCATATACATATTGTATCTTCTAACAAGCCTTACATGGAACACTTATCAATTTCTATACACGACCCCACAATGTAAAGCTTTTATTTCCTTAACCAAATTATGTATATAAATTACAAATATGTAGGAGACAGACATTCACCTTGTTTCACCTCTGATGAAGTTGAGAACCAATCTGTATAATACTCATTTAGACTCACATAAGCTAAGGGGTTGCTGTAAAGAGCCTGTACAGACTTACAAAATCTCTCATTCACCCCATATTCAATATGTCTGTAGGCTAAAACATCTGTTTCTCATATCAAAGGCTGTTTTCATTAGTGAGGCTAGGCCAGTTAACATGTATCTAATAAACTGCCATCTTACCTGTAGTGTATACGCGTATGAATATGTATGAATGTGTGTTTGAGTAAAGAATAGATTTTTTTAGGCTACTTACCTTTGGCTGAGGTCCAAGTGGGTCCGCAACTTCACCTGACATTAACACAAATACCAGGTGTGTCTTTGTTGTGTATTTTAGTAACACGCTTACTCATTTCCTCAAAAACTTTCCTCATAATTTCCTAAAGATTAGCTGGCATTTAGCACGTTAACATGGTGATTTAGCACAAATATGTACATGACTTTGTGTGTGAGTGTGTCAGATGTGTGCACTTACCGTAGGTCTGTCCGTTGATGGAGCACTTGTTAAAGCTCATTATGTTCTGAGTGAGAGTTCCTGTCTTGTCACTGAAAATGTATTCAACCTAAAAAGAATTTCAAATGATAACAGTAAGCCTAAGGTTACACACAAGAAAGTAACTGTTAAATCCAATAAATGCAATTAAACTATATTTAATATATTTTAAAAATAATGTTTTCTTAGATCAAAAAAATTTGAGAAGTATTGCTTATAATGGATTTACGGCAGGAAATTGTTGACTACTTATGCTGATCGTTAATTATAGCTTTAATTGCCATTCAGTTTCACTGTTGAATTAACACAAAATACATCTAATATTACTTAAAGCATCAGAAAGAAAACAGACAGTAGGATGGATGGTTAGGCAATCTATAAACATATATGAAACATCCATAGTACACACACAGACTGTATTTGCTGTATTAGTGTAAATGCCCACCTGGCCCAGCTCCTCATTCAGAGTGGTGGTCCTGGCCGCAGCTGCTGTGTTACACTGTGAGCAGAACATCTGCTGGTCCCAGTTAATGAAGTAGCTATGACCAAGCCTGATCACCTCCACACTGATATATTTCAAAAGAGAGAGGGATATGGTTACAAAACTGGTAGATCTAAAGCAACAGATACTACCAGTGGTTAACTAAAAGTAGTTTTGTAAAGTCAGGGACACACAAAGCCTTTAGTCATACATCCACATGCTAGTTAGGGGGTAGTGAATGTATAAATGTAAGGGCTACTAGTTCAGGAATGCAGGGACTAAATCAGTGGATTGAAAATGGCAAAGCAGAAGTGATAGTTTTTAGGATTGCAGCTTCCTCCTCCCGGACAGAGGTTCCTGGTGCTAAGATGCAAAACGAAAGCTATAAAAATAGTTCCTGCTGCCGCTGCAGAGTTTAATAGGCTGTAGCACTCTTCTCAAGTCTGATGTTTTATAGTTTCATGTCTTTTTAATGTGTTTTTGTTAATATATGCTGTGTGTTATTTTATTTGTCTGTTGCGGATTGTCAGTCTGCTGCAAATGAATCTATCTTTAGGTACCAATAAAGTAACCTGAACCTGAACCTGAGCTTTTTTCTTTTCTGTGGGAAAATTTCTGCAGAAGACAAACATGTACCAACAATGTCAGACAGAACTTAAAATGTCTAAATATGTAATACATCTTTAGAAACTTGGCAGTACAATTCACACTGTGTCCAAATTGTATTTAGATATAAGGTTATACAATATGTACTTTTACTCTTTTCTTAGGTGAAAAAATGTGTACTTGAATTTACTGTCTACAGAAGAGGATTAGGGCCACTGTACAAATTCATTTGAGTTCTGACTTTTTTCTCTTTATTCAGATTTTTTATGCATCCACTGGTGATAGTCACCGCCAGAGGCATTGTGTTTGTAGATTCTAGTGGTCAAAGGTCAGGTCACAGACCTGCCATCTGTCCCATTCCCATGAATCTGACTGACTGAGGGAAGCATAGAGCCACAAAGTGATATTTATATATTATATTTCTCAGATTTCCGGCTTTTTTAAAAGCCATCTTGAAAGTTGGAATTCTGGGTAAAGTCAAATAAATGTTTTTACAGTGGCCCTAATCCTCTTCTGTAATTGTCTGCATAGTATGCATTGGCTGTTTAGTCCATTTCCGTTAAAATGTTTATGTAGTTAGTCACTATTCTGTCATAATGTGGTACTCTGGAGACAAAAAATATATTTGTCCTTTATCACTCAACATAGACAGTGTGTGTCTTGTAAGCTTGACCTCACCTGACATACAGAGAGATGGGCACCACGGTGTTGAGAATGATCACATAGGACCAGAAGGAGAGGAAGGCAGAGAACAGAAAGTTGTCCACAGGAGGGTCCCAGGGCAGGTAGCTCTGAAACAAGGACCCCACCTCTCTCTCCCACACTGCATTACCCACAGCCAGGATCACACCCATACACACCAGGAAGCCAAAGATCTGACGGAGATGCACAGATGGAAACACACTAAGGACAGAGTGAGCAAGCATAGGGTGTCTAAATGTACAATCAGATATCTTACACTTGGATTTCTCTGGTCAGCTGAGCCCAGATTGGGATATATCATTAGAGGAGATATGTTAAACTAGACTCAAGCCAGTGAGATCATGTCCTAAAATAGCTACAAGCCATGAAAGTGAGAGGTTTGGGGTGTCCTACCCAGAGGACCAGAGTGTTCATCAGGCGATCGATGCTGGTTCGTTTAAACTTGGTGCGACCGCTGTTCTGCATTAGCTTGGTGTCTGGGCCTAGGACAGAAAAAAGGACAAGACAGACTTGTTACATGCTACACACACTCTATATTTCACACACAAATACATAGCTTATAAACACACAGACCTGCGAAGATGACCAGGCCGTAACAGGCCTCAGTGTTGCGGAGGACGCAGCCTCGGAGCAGCATATTCTGGTTGGTCAGGGTGTATTTCTTGTCTCTCCAGTACAGTGTCCCACAGAAACGATCCAACTTGTTGTTAGGGGGTTCACACACCACCTCGCCTTCACAAAGAAGTACAGACAAACAAAAGACACACAATCTAAATTGCATGCTATATCCCAGATGTCCACCAAATCCAATTACAGTATGGCACATATTTCCTGGCTTTATGATATAGTGTAAATTAATCATGTTCATGCCATCATGCCATCATAACACAGCTAACACACATAAAAAGCAGAAATACACACATTTGTAAGCAAAAATGAGGCAAAGTGTGGGCTAATTTGCATCAGTAATGCATTTTATTGAGCAGGTGATGTGCATGCTGGTGGGCGTGCTGAACTGACACGAAACTTTTCATTGTGTGTGCTGGTGGGTGGGTGATGATAAACTGTTGTTCAGTGCTGGCAGGGGAGGGCTGTATGTGTGTGTGTGTGTGTGTGTGTGTGTGTTCGTTCATGTGCAAGGATGTGAAGGTGGATAACATCTGTGTTCAGGCGCAAACTGAAAACCACTGACCTTTATATACTCGAGAAAAACAAACGATAGAGAAACCGAGAGAAGATTTTTTTTTTGCCTCAAATCTTACCATCAAATGAAGCCAAGTTGTTTGGGTCTCCAGGTTCAGATGTCACTGAGACCGACTGACGCACCTTCATATTGGTCTCTCTGCAAGTTAATACAACACAAATTTAGTTGTAGTGTCCTGCTGCTTCTGCAGATTGTGAGTCAGTGCTGAGGTATGGTGCATTTTCTGACCCGTCCAGCTCAGCTGTCTCGATGTAACAGAGACCGTGAGGTTCACTGCTAAACAACAGGAGCACATCTGCCTGAAAACAGACACAACAGCTGAGGTTAGGATCTACTGCACAACACTGAGCACAGGAACAGAATTAGAAGAGCACTGATGACGCAGTGGTGATAATGTGCATCTATTACCAAAGCAAAAATAATTAGTAATTGCATCTGGAAGCAAGTTATCTACAGTAGTTAGCATCCTCTAATGAGGTACATTGTGAATTCCATTTAGCGCTGCTCCATAACACAGTATAAATAGCCATCATGATCACACACAGATCTAAAATGATAAGCTAACAGTCCACTGCTGGGTTGTTGTAAAACAATCTTAATTTAAACGGGCCCTGCAGGACTACTGAAAACTGTGCCTGTGAGTGGTGACGTACATCACTGTGTTGGACACACACTTACTGCCACAAACTGGTTGTTCTCCAGTTTAATGATATCACCCACTCTAACATTCATCCACTTTTCATTTTGAAGACTGCAACAGCAAAACAAAAAGAAAAACAGTAAAGAGAGATGAAATTACAAAAGCTGTGAAATGATTGCAATTTAATAAATGTAAAAAACAGATAAGTCTTGAATAATTCATTCTATGATCTAAAGGCTTATTTAAAAAAGCAAGAGCAAAGGCTGTAATGACAAAACAGTATACTCACGAGCCACGGATGAGGACCTGAGACTGACGGTTATTCACTTGGTTGTCGCTCTTGTGACGAAACTGTGGGAGACAAAGGTCACCATGAACTTTCAGGACCTGTAAGTGCTCTAAGTAGTGTCTAAGTAGTGTCTGCTAGAAATAATGACTGTAATGTTATCCTGCCAAGTGAAAGATTGCATAAGTGTGGAATTGCATAATGAACATGCTCACATAGTCATCTGTAGCGTCCTTTACTGCAGTGATGCTTAGCACCAGAGCTAAAGGCACAATGGTAGTGAACCAGGAGAGAGAGGAAATCTGAGGTATCAGCTATAAAAAGAGAGACAGAAAGTTGAGTTAAAGATGAGTTTTAATAGAGACACAAAGGTTGTGTGACAGAGAGACAGCTACATCTGACCCAAGCCTTTCAGCAAACCATTGAGCTCCCTATGAACCTGCCTGGACCATATGCAGTCCACTGTGTACTGAAGTGCTGGAACGACAGTTCCAAGTGCCCAGGTAATGAGCGGGGATTTCACAATACACAAACATGTTTGCTAAAAAGCATGAGTTGTTTTGGGGTGCTTCTTTTAAGTAGTTTGTTCTCTGACAACTTCCACAGAATAGAGAAAAGCAAATATTGTTTTAGCTTGACTACTATGCAATTCCATGTTTTCCCAGTTTTGGAAATGCTTTAAGTACTAAAAGGTGTACCATTTCTACAGTGTACTGTGGAGTATGTAATACTTTACCTGAGGTTAAAGCAGTGACAAGACAAGGCTGTGAGGCTTAATGTCAGCATGCTAACATGCTCAAGTGACAACATTAACATGCTCATGTTTAGCCGGTGTAATTTACAATGTTCATTTTAGCATGTTAGCAGGCTAAAATTACTTAATTAGCACTAAATAGATTTTCATGGTGGAACAGCTGACTGTGAAAAGTGTGATTTTCCACCCAACAGTCAGCATGGCTGTGCTCTTTCTCTCAGATCCATTATGCAGAAACATGTGAAGACTCACTTTTGTCTTTCATAGATCTTATATCACACTCTGACAAACATTAGAGCAATTGGATCTGGAATCCTTATATGACTAACCTTTCCTGTTATAATTATTTCTGACTGCCTATACATATTTTACATGCCTCAAAGCAACTATCACTTTCTGACACAGCTTCCTCGTCCAGAGATGTAAACCTCTTTTCACACCATCTGTAGCCACACACAAAGACACAGATGCACAGATTCTGTCTTCTGTTTTCTCTACCTCTGTCAGTCTTACATCCCTCTTGTCCATTCCTCATTCAACTCCTCTCCTTACCTGCAGTATGAGCAGGAAAAGGAAGTAGGTGTTGGCTACTTCCTGGAATTGCTCAAACAAGTTGACGGGCAGAAAGGTGATGATATTGTACTTGGATGTCACGATGCAGTTACTCTGAATGAGAAGCAGGTGGGGGGTGGGGGTATATGAACTGTTACTATATTTCAGTTGAACAGTTTCAAAGATGAAAATGATTTTTCATCTTTTCTGAACATGCTCAATATTTTGGAGAAAACACAAGACTCTCTTACCGCATACTGAAACTTCTCATTGTACTCTCTGTCATTGGCTCGGACCCTCCTCTCCTCCTCTGCAGAAACACCAGACACAAAGGGAGTCATAAAGGATGATACAGCATCAAAACAAAAGCACCAAAACCACTGAATCTCTGTGTGTTAAACTGCCAATATCAGTACAGTTCCCTATTTAGAAGTCAAAGCTGCTGTAGTATCAGCTGGAGGTTGTTTGAGAAAAAGGACAGTCACAACCATTCTGTCCCATCCACCCACAAACAAATAAGCATACTTGCCTTTGATTTGTAATTAGCTGCTGCTGCATCTGTGTGTTAATGACAACATGTACAGTCTGGGCCACAAAAACAACATTCTGTATATCCATGTATGAGCATGTGTGTGAATCAGGACACCGGTAGTTTCAGATGAACACAGATGGACACCTAGTTACATTACAGTCTTACAGAAAATAAAAGCAATAAAGTGATATTTCTTCATCTTGTGCTCAATCTGTTGAACCTCTTTCCTCCTGACCCTGCTCTTTATCCTCTTTCCGTTTTTAGGTTTCTGTTTATGCTGATGGTAAGTAGCTTGGGAGTTCTCCTCCTCCTCCTCCTCCTCACTGGGCCTATCTCCTCTAATATTGATGAGACTGCTTTTTAAATGAAGTGACTGGTCTGTTTTGCACAAGTACATTGAGCCAAAGGCCAAAGTACATAATATGCACAGAGGTACTGTAGCTCTAAAACCACAGTCCCCAACACACTTTTGACTGATGACTGAGAAACAGAGGCACCACAGGAAGGGACATCACATAGCAGAAGCCATTGCCCCAGAATCGAACACGCTGATATAAACAAAGACTGTGTGGTTTCCTGTGTTTCTGCAGCACAGTGTTTCACCTTGTAGAGCTCACACCTTATATCTTATTCTCAGATGCATTCAGCTTACACAAATACAAACCACTTAAAAAAAAATTTCCATAAGAACTCCCCGTTGTTGGTACAGAAAAATACAGATTTGTTGCGACAGCTGAGCTCTGATCAGCTATAAAACCAACTGGGCTGCTGTCACGGTGGATTTAGTCAAGTTAGAGAAGACAAATGTTCCCCATCTCCAGACTGGATTAAGGAGAGTGATGATTTTTTTAATAGTAGTGGCGGATCATGGGAATGGTGAACATTAGAAGCAGCACCATAGAGCAACACTGACTTGGCAGCTGTCTCCTAGAGTGAGAAGTTGAAATCAATAACAATAATTATACTTTTGACTGTCTCTCTCAAATATTGTGTCACTTTAATAGATTTGGCAATAATTTACTGCCAAAAACAATGGATCTGAACCAGATGTTTTGAACTCTTTGAAGCTACATGGGTCATGTGAGCCGCTGCCGTTTGTGACCCCTCAGTGTCGCAACTCTTCCATCTTTATTTTTTATTATATATTTTAAGCTTGCAGCAGATGCTAATATTTAGCAACCGGTCCAGGTGTATAGGGGCAATATGGATAAAATCCTGTACCTGTGTTTTTTTATATTGATAAATATTGATATACAGTGTAAGCGGTATAGATAATGGATGGATGGATATACAGTGTATTTTCTGATAATTAAATGCAGGTACTTCATTATATTATTGCAAAAAATAAATAAATTTCAGTTGCCACAAAGCTGTCCAGCTCAAACTGTAATACTGACCCCAGTGGACAGGAATAGCTAATATGTATAGTATGGTATAAATAGAGAAAAATATCAGATAAATCTAAACAGTATCATGGTATATGTCATGCTAATACCCCATGCTACTATATGAAAGAGTAATAATCCTAGCTAATTAAAACTAACAACAATAAGCTTAACTGGTTTCTGAAAACTGATAAAAATGTGTATTACTGTTGTAAAGACTGTGGCTCAGTCACTGAAATATTGAGAAAGACAAATTAAATATATTTAAAAAGTATTTAGGGCATCAGTCAACTCCAATCTCAGTCAGGCTGACTAAGGGCATCTTACAGCTGAGTGTATACAAAACTGCACAATATAAGAACTACGCTCAGGGTTCATGATGGTATCTGATATTTCCTCTCCTCTAAACACATTAGTTTAACAATATCTAACTTATATGTCTGGTCATGTAGGTGTAGAGCCTCCAAAATGTATTCTCTTGGAACAGTTCCAGTCTCTCCTGTTTCCTTGTCCTTCTAGCGCCTCTGCACCATACCTGAAGGTCGTCATGTTGCTTTCTGGAGCACGTTCAGCTGAGACTGTCTGACAGGCAGTGCCAAGGCTGAAGACAGCAAGCTGTTTGTGCCAGGTAAGCACCGAGCCACCAAGGCTTCCCAGCATCGGGTGATGTCTGTGCAAATCACATCAATCCAACCTGAGTGGATGAGCATCTTTAGCAAACAGCCCACTAAGTGTTTAATGTCTCAGACAACTTTAAGGGCTTTAGAAGACCAACACAGAGTAGCTTTTACACAGCAAGTCACTATGAATCTATAAACCTCCATTACGGAGTTGCAGGCTTAGGCTACTGCAAGCATAAGAAGTGCAAGGACATAAAGGAGTACAAAAATATTGATTCAAACTGAAATACTTAATATCAATGGCTAGCTGTAGCCAAATCCAGGAGCACTCATTTTCTTCCATCCACCCTCCTGTCTCTTTAAGGCTCTTGTCCTCATAGCCGGACATGGGATGGCACGTGCCACAGCTCTTATTCTCCGTGAGGGACACAAAACTCTCACAGCACAGTTATTGGAGACTGAAGTCATAACAGAAATGACTAAAGACTATAGTCAATCTGAGCTATGGGAAATGTGATTTTCCTAGGCATTACTCAAGTCAGGATCAGACTCTGTGGAGAAGTGATCATCACTCACTGTGGCTGATTTAATCAGATGAAATTGTGATTGCAGAATTGTCTGCAGTCATGCACATGTGCACACACAAGTGCATGCATAAACACAGTGATGTAATTAGTTGGAAAACAATGACACAGTGACAGAGGACTGTAGGTCAAATGAAGGTGGGCCATTCAGTGTGATTTGTGATAGTCAGACTGAGGGGTAAACCTAAGGCTGTGCAGTGACAGTGGAGGTTGGCGCCTGGACGATTGATCAGTCTCAGGCACCACAGACAAGGACATCATCCACTTACACACATTTTATATTTAGATTAACTTCATTTTATTTACATATGCACATCCCACTAATGTAAACACAAATTCATAGGCGACACTAGACATCTCTTACTGTATTTACTGGGACAAAGTGTTGATTGTAGTGATTACAAGACTAAGCATGAAGTGCTGCATTACAAAAAGGCAATTAAGCCCACTATGCAGACTGTGTGTGCATACACATGTACACAAACACACACCTATGTATAAAAATGGCTGCACAAGATGAAGCAGCAGGGGTGAAACCTGGACAGATGGGATGAGAATCAGGAATGATTTATTTGAAAAACGGTAAAATGAGTTTCTACAATCAACAATCCACGAAACAGACCAATCAAACAGTCAAGGGTCTGAGACCAAACAGAAAAGCTCATTTGTACATGATCCGTTAATTGACACACAAAGTCGTACCTGTCCACCTCTTTTTAGATTTGCCCCCATCAAGTCCTTTCTGTTTCTTCCTTTGCTGGAGGAGAACAACTGGAAACCATGTGTCTGGGATTTCTTTCAGTACTGTCATCTTGACCTTAAATTAACAGTCACTGTCTGAATTTTCGTTAAATCTGCGCTTATTAAACGACAACTCTAAGTTAAAGCCCCGGTCCCTACTTCTCTGAATTTAAATTAGCCGCATACTGTCCCTCACCTTCCCTTCTCTTGCTTTGTCGCCTCCAAAAAACACACACATAACCTAAATAGTTCCTCTATTGCTCCTCAGTTTTCTCTGCCTCCTGCCATAAAAACACTTAGGTCATTTCTCCCCTCGTCAATCTTCAGATTCACCATTATTCACTCAGCCTCACATAGCACTGCTTAAGTTTTTTTTTTTATAAATAGTCTATCAGGTGTGCAGTACTGTCTGCTATAGGAATTAGGTAATCACTGTCTCTGCATCGGATGCACGTTACCATGGTAATCGACTCTGCAGGTCTCCCATATCCCAAATGCCCCTGTGAGTAAACTGGGCGCCATTTTGGATCTACAAAGTATGCGCTGATTGGTGCCCGGCCGTAATGTTTAGAGCCAAAGTGGCTCGTGCAGCGGTCCAGCTTCCTGTGTGTTAAAAGCTAGATGGTGCCCTGCAGTGGGAGGGGCCAGGCAGGTGTCTGAGCATGTGCCAATACATTAAAGATAGCCAACCAAACTCATACATTCCGCTCATTGTGCAAAAAGCTGTAGGCCTATGATTGCAGCTGGTCTTAAGTGTGCGTTTAATGCATCTCTGATCAGATTAGTATCTACTCTCTATACATCCTGTGCATATTGACGGTATACCTGTATATTAATGTGTCTAAGTACTTCCTAGTGCAATCCAGTCAATAAAGACACTTGTTATATCTGGTAAGAGACTGTGAAGGAACTTGTGAACTGTTTTGTTCCACTCTCTGGAGACTAAGGAAACGACTTTAAATTTTGCAGGTAATGAGTGTGTTTAATGTCAGCTACTGACCTGGAGGAGGCCTCTTTCTGAACATCTCCAATCTGCCGCCGCCGTTCTTCTGCTATGGCCCATGGGACTATCTGCAAAGGGAAACAAGAAGAGGTGAAGGAGACAACAGAGAAGAAGCCACAGTCATGAAGAGATGCAGTGAGAAGTGAGGGATTAGGGGAGGAAACAGTGGAGCACTAAGGTGTGGAGTGCCTTCAGAGGAAGAGGAGGTGAAGCCAGAACTATACAAAACGTATTTTTTCTGATACAAGATGTAAGAAATAGCTCGTTTTGTTTTAAACCAAACAATAGCGATGCCTGCAGTCAAGTGACGTACTCTATTTACTGGCATATGTTTTTTTAGTTTCAGGGCATGAAAACCATTTATTTGCCTCGTAGTGAAAGAATGAAAATCAACGAGGCAAGCACTACACAACAGGACACACACACATAAATCAGTCCATCTCTGGTCTGTTGGAGCCATAATGAGGAAATGACATTCAGCAGAAAGGAGCATCTGGCTCTGTGTCTGGGGACTGGTGGTTCAGGTCAGTCTCCTATAGTGAATGAGAAAGACTAATGGATAAGCATTTCCCCCCTCACAGCAAAACATCTCCTCTTCTCTTCTGTCATCTATCGTATTCTCACTTTCCCCTCTACACTTGTCTCCTGTCTTTCCAATTATGCTGTCCTGTTCATATTATACACCTCACTGCTTATATCCAGTGTTTCAGCAAAGTAACGCTGCAGAGAGGCAGAAAGATGACAGATGAGGTTGCAGAGGAGAGGAGTTATATACTGGATCTTTATCTTGGGTTTATAGTGTATACTAGAAGGTACAAACATTCTGGCAGACACGGGCTTGAGGCAGTGAGCATCTAATCAATACTCCAGAGAAAGAGCCGCTCTGCCTCCTTCTCTGCGAGTTGAGCTGATCAGATTTCAGCTTTTTTCCAGCATCGTCCCTTGCCCTGTCATAGTCTTTTATTGTATGCTCTCTACTCACTTTCTAGCTTATTTATCAAACTATGAATATGAACTAAGAATATGGAGTGAGAACAAGAGCTGTTTGCCATGTTCTCTCACCTCTCTCCAGTCTTTCAGTTCGCACAACCCTCCCTCTCTCACGCTCTCCGTTTGTCGCTGGCATTTTGTATAACCCTACAGACCAGCTGTGCCCTTACAAAATAAAGCTGGCAGCATTCAGGACATGCTGAATATTGGAGCACCTTTCTTGGCTTCTGGGCAGAGTTCCTTTCATTTCTCTCACTACATTCTGACCGAGGTTTTGGAGCAACAAAATCTTTAAGGAAATGTGTGGCTTTGAGCTGCAAAACCAAGGCCAATACTTCACATATTAAACATGACAAAAAAAACATAGATGTTTTGCATATAACGTTCTGCAGGGCTCACGGGTGATTTCAGTTCCAGTATTGTTTATCTCCTCAGATAACAGCTGTAGAATATTTCTAAAGCAGTTATTCATTATGTAATTTCCCTGCTCCTAAGGCAGGTCATGCAAGTTCTTGAGTGGAAAAAATACAGAAAGACAGATGGTGAATACGCCTGTCTAAATTTAGTTTTTCATATTGTTCTATTTTAGAATCTTCTACCCAGCATCTGTCCAACTTGACATATTCTATATTGTACATTCTAGTTGGTTGATAGTAACTTTATAGGATAACATGTCCTTTTGTTTTTTTATGCTTTTGTTTTGTTCACCTCTGCCCATTTCCGCTGTGCTGATACAGACTGTCACCAATAAAGTGAGTTTAGGGTGACCTCTGAGTATTGTTCATGGGTTTTCAGTTCCTCAGACACTATACTACAATACCAAAAAAAGTTTTAAAAACGAACCATAATATTAGCCCTTGTGCTCTGTTCGGGTCTGTGGGACCCGGAGACACATGTCACCTTAAAAACAACAATATATATAAATATATATATATTTATATATATTGTTGTTTTTAAGGTGACATGTGTCTCCGGGTCCCACAGACCCGAACAGAGCACAAGGGCTAGACTACTACTGTTATGATCACAAAGAAGCGGCCAACACACTGAAACAACACAATACAATAATAACCCAACAAAGTCAAACCATTATCGACTTTGCATTTTTATGATATTGTTTAACAGCCTGTTAAAAGTAGGCACAAAATAATAGGTCAGAGCAACGTGACACAAGACTAGAATAACTCTAATAACTTTCACGTCATTCTGCAGTTGTCAGGTTGTATATTTCTTGAGGATCAGTTCATTTTATAGATTCATTTAATTTTATACATTTGTTTTGTTTATTTTGTTGTTTTTAAATCATCTCAAATCATAATTAATTGGGTTTACGGTGATTTGTACTCACCTGTGGTATATTTAAAAACAATAAATAAATGTTTAGTTTGTGTGATATCTGCATCACAACCTATTAAAATGATCTACAACACTGTAGGTCAGTAACTTTTATAAGGAAGCACAGAATAACAAAGACTAAAAATAACTAACAAAGTTAAGCCAGTCGGCTTTATTCTTAGGAATAAATCTAATTTGGTCCATTGCTCCCTTAGACATCCTCTACAGTAAATGCAGTTAGTGTAGTAGTGATGTCTGGTTTCTGTGGCAGGACAAACTTTCACTTTGAGTTTAGGAAAATGTAATGACTAATATTCCTGTAAGACACTAAGAACTGTAATTACTGTAAGCACCAAGCAGCACTGGTGTGAATTGTGGTGCCATAATCAGAGCTGAACACTTTACAGTGGAAACCGAGACGCACGTCAGTGTTTTCAGCTGATAAAGTAAGACTGCGTAGAAAACCGGTTGGCCATACAGTGCACGATGGAGTAACTAAGCACAACAGCTCTGGAAACACAACCTACCTTTTCAAGTAGGCGAAATAGTTTTCTGGTGGAAACAGCCTCCTTGCTCCTCTCGCCGAGGTCATGATGAGGTTTGGGGCTCGAACCGGAGGCGACGCTGGCCGTGATAATAAAAGGCCGCTGAGGTGGGAGGGGGAAGCAGGCACCGGGGAAATGCTGTGGCGAACGAGGGTTTGACTTCGGCCAGGGGAGACGACAGAGGAGGGGGAGGGACTGCACCACCTTCACCTTCTCCACCTCCGCCTGGACCTAAACCGATTCACTGACCATCTGACAGCATCAGTCGTGTGTGGATAAACATCCATTCCTTCTGTTTGCATGTTAACGTTTTGACTGAAGCCGCGATATCTCTGTTTTACCACTTTATTCATCAAAAATCTTCGCTTCTCTAACAGCCTGAACACACCTTCCCATTCATCAGTAGCCATGCGCTTTTTCCTTTTTGTGTCACACCGCCCTCTACCGCTGTGCCAGTACCAGTCAACATCTGTTCACTGCTCAAGGTCGCAACACCTGCATTATGCTTATGGCCATGCAAAACGGACTATGTGAACCTACTCTGTGTTTGAATTCAAAAGTACGATTGTTAACATATATTATAATAGTGTGATAATGTCTGGAGATGCACGGGATGCCCTTGTAGCCTACATTGCTTTTCATAAAGGGATGTCAAAGATCAATTACATGTATTGTTTATGAATTCAAACTGTAAAGGAAAGTTAAACCAGTTTAAAGCAGAATATAGCGGCTCCCTACTGAAACTCAAATTATATAATTGCATAAAAAAACAATTCTTTGCTGCTGTAGTGAGAAGGTCCAGAGGAGCATGAGTTGGCATAAAGATGTCTTCAGAGATAATAAAGGAGCCGTGATGGAGAGATTTTTATAAATTTTCATTTTCTTTCTATGCAGTGTTCTTTGTTTAATTCTGAGCACTGGGTAAAATGCTGTATAGTCAGTGTCACAATCTGCAGAGCAGTAGTTTTGTTCCATTGGCAGATGGATGAGAACTCTATTAAAGCACCAGGGTGGTAAAACTGTAAAAATTGGCTTTATACCAGAATTAACAAACAGATTTTTACAGATAATGGAATGACAAATAAGTTGTATTGGAGTGTTTTTAAACTTAAATGACAATCATATTTACCTAATTTGCCATTTCAAATGTTTTAACTAACCCTTAATACACAGAACACACAATATACTAATGCAAACCTTTGAGCAAAAATAACTTAGTGTCATATACCATTGCTTGCTCTGCGTCATGATTCCTGCTTGATGTACACAGAAGCATATTGTTGATGTGGGTCACTTCCTGCAACCGTGAGCTGACACATCACCAAGAATGATTATTTCAGTTTTGTTGCTTGTTCCAGTGTGATATTCTTCATATCTTTAAAAATGGAGTTAATATAAGGGTTTTGTTAGACTGTAAAGCTACATTAAAAATGTAGCCTACTGTAGAAAATGTAAATGAACAATTCTTGTAGCATCCTTGGCTCATTGTTAAGACACCCCAGGGTGCAACTTTACAATCCACTGACTTAGTAGTGTTAAGTACAGTAGAGAGCTCAAGCAGTCTAATCTGAAGTCCCCTGCTCCTTTATTCCCAGTGAAAGTCGAGATCACTTGATCACTTGGGCCTAATCTTTTTTTTAAGGTTGGTGGGAGGGGGTATATACATTTATAATAAATAAATAATAATATTTACACACAAACAGGTTATTTTTCTATGTAAAATATGAACATGCTGCACCTCTGTAAACACTAGAAAGTTTTTCCTCCACTGGGATTCTTCATACATGTATACTCGCTTCTACATCTCTACTGTGAAAATATCTTTTCCTGCAATGTGGGGACTCAGCGTTCTTCATGGAAACCAGATGTTGTAAATCACTGAAATTTAGGTTGATGACGTGGTTTAAGTTAGGGTGAGGTTAGGTATTAGGCAAGTAGTGGTTACAATTCGAGTGGGTTTCCAGATAATGAACCTAAGTCAAAATAAAGTCCCCTTGAATAATTACAAGTGTGTGTTTGTTGAACACATGCTCAATAGCCATTTAGACATTTAATAATGAGTAAATACACCTCAGTGATATAATTTACTAAGAATAAATCAATATGCTAAAGAATACAGACATCAATGTAAACAGCATTATCTCATAATTATTATGTCTTTCAGCCGACTCTGTCTTTTCTGGTTGTGCTTTAATGTGCTTTAATGTTTGTTGTTGCTTTCTCAGACAATTTACAGCTAGAACTGTGTCTTTAACTGTACAGGTCGTGAATGTGGTCAGGTGGGACTTTTTTTTTATTTTTATAAAGTTAAAGTCTGCACATTTATAGATGTGCAGACTTTAACTCTGCTTCACTTTCCCATTTGGTGCTGGGCTGTTTGATTTTGTCACTAATGGTGGAGAGAACGAAGAAGTCGTCAGCGGGGTCTGGATCAGGCAGCTGCCAGTGAATGAAGACCAAATACACACAACTTCCTAAAACACCTCCAACAAGTGGGGCCAGTATAGGTACCCAGAACCAGTAGTTGTAACACCTGGAGAGCAAACAGCAGAAAGGCATTCACTTACACAGCACTGAGAGTTCTGTTATTGGCCAAGTGTATATTCTGTAAAAATGGAAGTGTTCATTTTTTTGTTTAAAACTGTATTAGTCAATATATTTTTATATTGGCACTGAATTTGTACATCTAATATGAACGTTACTGCTCACAGTGACCAATCAAAGAGCATTATTGCCTATAACTCTACAGTTCTACAGAGCATTTTAGCTTCTTTTAGCTCAGTGTTTTAGTTTTATGGGACATGCATGACTACGCTTGAGGGGGTTTGCAAACAAGCTAACTGTAGACCAGGTAAAATTAACCACAAGTCCTCCAACCTAAACAAAAATATATGTCAATAAACCCGTTGAATCAGCATGCTTACTGGTTGTCATGGTAACAATCATAAACACACTGTTTAGGTTTAGACAAAGACTGTGACTTAGGTTAAAAGAAATACTTCTTTAATGTTACAGGACCTTCGTTGTGGTCATGTACTAAAAACATTTCATTTACATTCACACTGGGACACAGTGTGCTTGTCAGCTTGTTTTTATATTTTCTGCCCCCTAGTGGGCAAGAATCTATTAATGCAGCTTTAAATGGGTTTGATCAAGTACAAAGACTAACAGTTGTGGAACCACAGAAAAGTCATAGAGTCATGTAGGACAACAGGTTGCATTGTGGAACAAACAACAGATCATAAACAGATGTTCTGATACAAGCTGACATTTCATGCTCCTTTAATCCAAAAGAAAACAGCTGTAACCGCCAAAAACCTCTGACTTAAGTGCTTTTCTGAGGCACATGCAGCCAAAGACACTTGAGAATGATACACCTGGGAAACTATGTCACGGCTTTTTACATGTCATTATGTTGGTTTGAAATAATTATTTGGCTTCATCAATAAGACATTTAATGAAACAAGCATTCTCATATTATCAGCCTGGAAAGCTGTGTGTGTGTTTAGTGCTGTGCATGTGCTTTGTAAGATGAGATACTTACGTGAAGACCTCTGTGCCCCAGCCTGCAGTCAGAGTAAAGAGGCGCGGTCCCAGGTCCCGAGCAGGATTTATTGCACCGCCACAGTTACCTGACATTGACACGGAGATCCCCAGGACAATCGCTGCCACAATAGGAGGAATCAGCCCTGGGGGAGCAGGGGTGTTCCTCTTTTCACCCAAACACAGGATGCACAACAGCAGCATGCCGGTGCCCACCACCTAGTGAAAATGAAATATACAGCACAGCAATTATGAATTAAGCTGAAGAATACTTGTTAAAGTACTTATCTACTGTGATCCTCCCAACTGACCTGGTCCAGGAAACTTCTGCCCAAAGTAAGATGCTCTGTGGGATATGTCGCAAATATAGATGCTGTCTCATTTGGGCCGATCACTGTCAACACTCCTCCACTAAACTCCATTATAGCATCTGTGACAAAAACAGAGGTAATAATCAGTACGGTAAACATCAAAACATACTATACTACACATAAATGTACGTATGTACAATGCACATGGGTGAGAAATGAAAGGAAACTTTGATGTCTTTGGGTTGTTGGTTGTCCAAGACCCTCCAGAAAATCTCTAGTGTGTTGCATTGAGTGCTGTATAATAGTTGAGATCTGACTGTAAAGACCATAGGTTTTCATTCACATAATTTTCATACTCATCATTTGTACAGCAATAATGTTAGAGTTTGAGGTGAAAGACAAACCGTAGTAGATCAGGTAGACAAGCCCTGATGCTACATAAGCCCCCAGAAGCTGGGAGAGGCTGTAGGGAGCCAGCCTACTCCAGGGTACCTGGCCCAACACACAGAAACTCAGAGTCACCGCTGGGTTCAGATGGGCTCCTACAGAAAAAAGGAGGACATGGAGTTTTCATCTGTAGGACTGGTATTATGCCACTTTATTAAGTTTAGACATTTTTTCAGGTGACAAAGTAATCACTTAGACTGAGAATAAGTAGTCAGTCTATCCAGCGATGCTGATTTACAAATTTGTTCTGACATTTTCAGAGATGTGAGTACTTGTTATCTGACCAAGCTAGCTCGATTAGCAGGCAGCTACATCTCATTCAGGAGTACAGGACATTATAGTTGAGTTTCCACTGTCGGAACCTAGAGAGTGGTACACCCAGGGCTTCTCTTAACCGTCACCTGGAATGACCTCACAGGCTGATGTGGACATGCTGCCTTGCTTTTCCAGTGTAACTTCCTGTGTTGTTGTTTGTTTAGAGGACCAACACACACACAGCTCAGCAAAGGGAGAGCAAAGGATGTGAAGTATCACTCCACAGTGTAACAATCAGCCAGAGACTGTATGAGCAGGTTATCGAGCAGCTGTTGAACAAGCTGAACAAAAACTTGCAAAAATATGACATCATCACCACTTTGCCCGCGGTCCAGTCACTGAAGTCTCTGTTTCATCCCTAAACCACCGAGTTAATGTCTGTAATGTCTATTGTGTAACTTTCAAACTAATATATTATAAATACCAGTAGTGGGTTTTCACGGTCAAGCAATCATATTATGAAGGTCAAACTATCATGGGAATATTGCTTTTATGGGGAAACTGAGTTACCCTTGGTGGAGGTTTGAACTCTGTGAGTCCTGCCTAGTTTTACCTGTGATTCCCTTGGTGAGGTACATGGCTGACATGACACCCACAGAAAAGGACATATTGACCGACAGAAACTGGCCTTTAGTCTCTCTGCTGGTTTTAACCTGTGCTGCTGCTGCACAACCAAAAAGCTGCATGGGACAGAGAGAGAGAGAGTGAAAGTGGGGGGGTGGCATGAGAAGTCAGGAGAAATGTGATAAACTACAAGGTGAACAAGACACCTTGGCAAAAATACACACCTCAAAGGTCACTTCACATCAACACAGGCAAAATTACATGTACACATGTTGTGATATCTAGTTGGTCTTTTACTGATTAACAGTTTATACGGTAATGATTATCAGAAAGATTAGTGGTTGATAAAAAAAATAATTAATCCCATCCTCTCATAAACTTGGATTTTGAAGTGAAGCTGGAGACATTTTATCTAAAGCGCCATTTAACAAACAATATGACTCAGATGAGAGGGCATAACAAGTAAACACACGCATATACAAGCAGGGTGAAAATTTACTTGCTAAATGATAACATGTAGAAACATTTTATGGATAATTATGTAAACTTACCTGGGTCAAGTTGATTTATTCATTTTATGAATATGTTAATTTATACATAATGTGGCATCTCTTGTGATGCCTACATTTTGTTTATTAGTTCATGAATATTTAACATTTATTAGTCTGTTCTTTAGAAAATAAAATGCTATAAACAAACTAAAGTTTAATAGCAATAGAAAATTATACTGACCACATTAAATGACTAACACTAGGGAACAGTGTCTAGATCCCCATATTGCCTTAATTCTAGGAAGTGGTTCACTCATTTACATTTTAGAATTTACAGTTTGTCTGCACATGAATTCAGTCTAAAACTTCACTTATTGTTCCAGTGTATGTACAATAACATTTTCAGATAAATGACATAAAAAACACAATGTACAATATTTTTATATTAACGGGAAAAATTATATGCAAAATTATGAGCACTACATTTTAAATGCTGGAGCAGTGACAGTCAGAATGTTCCTAGTATTTCTGTAATGTTGCCTTTGGTCAGTTTCCAAGAGATTTTTTAGTTGAAAAAAATAATCCAAACAGTAAGTTTAAAAATATACAGAGCATGATACAGTACTCACATGTCCTGTGCACCCCAAAATAAGGTAACATTTAAATTATTTAGAAAAATTCATAAAATCATTAAAAGGAAAATGCAACAAAGGCTAAATGATTATGAAAATGTGTAACATAAGGGCATATTTACCTATGTTCGTTAGCTATTTTTGTTTTGTTTTTTACTTCTTACTTTTTTAAGGGTTTTAAAGAGACCCCAAAAGATGTGAAAAAATTGTGGATCTTGTTAGTAAGCATCAGCAATTGTCACTTACCAACAAGACAAAGGTTCCCAAGAACTCAGCCATACACTCTCGCACCAGGGCATTCCTCACTCTCAGTAAATGTAGCTTCAGCATGTCCAGAGTTAAATTAAATCCTTATTTTTATTTCACACTGGATTTTATCCCTGTTGTCAGCCAGACCAGCTGGTGGGCTCTCCGTGTGTCTGGGAGCTGATATGGTGATTTAAGTGAAGGAGGTGACAGTGCAACTGTATCCTACCACTCCGCTTCTCCTTCCCTACAACTGGCCCAACATGATTACTCATTTATTGGTTTGTTAGCTATTAGAGGTTGCTCATAGGAACCAAGGCCATAAAGAGTCAGATTATGTGCTGACAGAGGAACATAAGCCCCAGAACAGATAAATGAAATCTGTCGCCTGTTTTCAAGAAACCACTTACAAATGTTTATGACAAGTAAACATCTATATTTAATATGAACGGAACAATATATCAAAATCTCTAAATTGCAATATACAAAAACATGCTTTGTCTAGCAATATATATCATGCGTCTGCATACACCAGTGGCTACACATTTTTTTAAATAACAGAATGTAGGTCGGTATATGTGGTTATTCTTTACATATTTAAACCAGTGCTAGAAAAGGGGGAAAAGGAGGAATAAAGTATTTCACAGCTTGTTATTATTGTATTTTTAATTGTATCATGAATGAATTGAATCATACACATCATATCGTCCATTGAATTGCACTGAGAAAAAAATCATATCATCCCATCCCTATTTATTTATGTCTGTTTTTTGTCATCCTTTTCATACACTATGTCATCAATCTGTGCAAGGTGCAACAGCCACAGGTACTAACATAGCTACTGTAAGAATACAGTGCATGTGTTGGCACTATCATCACTGTACATGCACTGCAAATTACTGGTGTGCATTTGATTAACAATGAGCACACATAAAATTCTTCCTCTTCTTCTTTTGGCTGTTCCTGTTAGGGGTCGCCACAGTGAATCATTTGTTTCCACCTAACTCTATCCTCAGCATCCTCTACTCTCACCCCAGTTAACTTCATGTCCTCTTTTAGCACATCCATACATCTCCTCTTTGGCCTTCCTCTTGACCTCTTGCCTGGCAGCTCCATCTCCAACATCCTTCTACCAATATAACCACTATCCCTCCTCTGCACATGTCCAAACCATCTCAATCTGGCCTCTCTGACCTTGTCCCCAAAACAGCTGACCTGAGCTGTCCTTCTGATGTGCTCATTCCTAATCCTGTCCATCCTGGTCACTCCTAAAGAGAACCTCAACATCCTCATCTCTGCTACCTCCATCTCTGCCTCTTGTCTTTTCCCGCCTGCTACAGTCTCTAACCCATACAGCAGAGCTGGTCTCACTACTGTCTTGTACACCTTTCCTTTGATTCTTGCTGCCAACTCTTTTGTCACACAACACTACCTGTGTACTCCTACCTCCACTCTTAGCATACATAAAATAATTTGTATATATTGATATTTGTTATCTATTAAATGAGTATATATTAGTAAAAACCTATCCAAAAATCACAAGAATGGATTTTGAAGATACTAAAATTGATCTTTTTACAACCTATTCAAAATTATTATTTGTGGAAAACTAGATATTGCTCTGTGTTCATATTCAGTTTGAGCCATTTTAGTTTATAACTGATAAAGCTTCAGAGAGAGAAAACAATTCAAATTTATCTGCACAGGACTGGACATTTGCCCTTAATATTAAAATTTATACAAATTTATGTTTATCTTTAGCCCTAAATCGATCATTATCATTCATCATTGTCATTCTTCAGTCAGACAAATTGCAGTTTCAAAATTCCTTTGAAACAATCAGTCACAAAACTATTTCTCTGAATGGGAAACTTTTAACAAAACTAATAAGTACTCTCTGTGAAATTCAAGTCCAGAAAAGTGTACAAATTCTATTATTAATGGTGCAGTAAAACATTTCATGGTGAGTTTATGGCAAGGTGGTTGAAAGGAATACAAAACATTGGATGTCATCACAACTCTGCCAGCTGAACTCTGGACTTAATGAGTTATGTAACTCAAAAAAAAATTGCTCTGTAGGTGTAAAGTGTTACTGCTGATAATTTGCAGAGGCACAGGACTGTAGTATAAAAATGAATTGGCATAAGACAAGGTGTAAAGCACTGTCTGACATAATTTAGCTGTAGTCCTACATTTTGATATTTGTCATTTATTTTTTCTGAAAACAGACTAGTAGGCTAGACTGTGAGTTTGGGGGTTTATCTCTTATCACATCTACTTTTGAAGAGTACTGTTTGTTAATGTATGAAACCTTTAACCTGCTTCAGACAGCTCTTCTTATAACTGAAAGGTACATTGATGTCACTCTACCTCCCTCTGCTGAACATAAGAAGACACATCACTTTAAGTAAGAATTTATTAAAAAGCATATAAACTCAGTTAGCAAGTATTCACAAAATATTACATGTGCTATCATTCACAGGTGCCACATTATTAGCTTTTAACTGATCCAGTTCTTGGTTACAAAAGTCGATTCACTTGAGCCAACTGTGCATTTTAATTATGGCTGGTACAGGAATATCCCAGGCTTTGAGGTAGATGAAATCCTGTTAACGGGATATAGAGAGAAAAATACACACCTTTGACATGGTCTGCAAGATTATGTTTGCTTTAGGGCTTTGTTATAATGACTATAAATAAACTGTTAAATTGTTTTAATGGGCCCAAACAGCCCATTTAATAGATTTGGTCTTCTTAACCAAGGCAGGCAATATAATCTCTCATGGACGGCTTTTAGTTTCTTGTTCATCATCATTCCCTGAACTTTTCTGTGCGCCACCTCCATAATCGTCATGTTTCAAGATGTTTTAGAGGGCGGCGCAGCACTATATCCACTGGTCCAGGGGGCAGTCTTCTGATGAAAGTCCAGGCCTCCAGGCGGCTCATTGCCACCATGCTCATCCCTTCGATCTCCACCACCTCATCACCAGGAAACACCTTGTCAACAGGGCCCCCTGAGGGGAAGAAAGAGAGTGGGAACATTGAATAAATGGCTGTAAAGTAAAAGTGTATACAGAGAGGGATTACTGGAAGCTGATTTAATGAAAAGGTCGTACAATATGTGCATAATTTCAGAATTGAATCTTAATAAAAATATGGAATGCTCACATACTTTATTTTACATAAAAAGTATATGATCAGTTTATCACATATGATGCACTAGTATAGATGAAACAATTCAACAATATATGAATTGTTAAAATTAACTCCACGGTGACCAATGTTAAATTGCTTACATAATACTATATCACTAATATTAATAATTATAATCAAATTTAAGGAAAGTTTATTACTGTAACAGTGTTAGAGGCCATTCCGCATAATAAGTACTTTTGCTTTTGATACTTACATTTTACATTACATACACTTTGTTAGTAATACTGCTATTCCTTTACTCAAGTAAAAGTTTGAATGCAGGACTCTTATTTGTAATGGAGTAATTTTATAACGCGTGTTGCTACCTTTACTTAAGTAAATGATTTTGATACTTAAGTCATTCAACAGAACTACGTTGTGTCAGTCTCAGGTTTTTTTGAACTTATCTCAGCTCTCACCCTGGAAGATCTTCTGAACGGTGAGTGGTCTGTTACCCAGACTGGAACCTACACCTCCCTCCAGGCTGAAGCCCAGATCCCTGCTGTTCTTCTCCAGGTGCACGCACACACATTGATCTGAGAGGAGAGGAAAAACACCAATACAAACTCTCACTTTAAACTGCTGCAGGTTTAGGACTGATGTCTTTTTAGAGCTCTGATAATGTATGACTTCTCACCTGTCTCGATGGACTGAGTCTGTGTTGGTCCCTGGTTACTTTCCTGCACTCCTCTTGTAAAGGCACTGTTAACATCTCCCCTCTTCAAGACCACCACTCCCATCTCACGAGTCTTTGCCCTTCTCAGGACCCTCACAGCCTCCCAGTGGGTACAGCCACACAGTGCTGTACCATTGATTGACAATACTTGGTCCCCTTCCCTTATGGAGCCTTCTTGAGCTGCCACACCTAAGTGAAACACCTTATGGACCTGAGGAAAAGACATCAAGAGACAAGTGAAGAAACTAATGACTGTGATTTTGAGAGATCAGGAAGAAGTACAGTATTCCCTCACAGTGACTGGCTTGTTCTGGTCCATGCCTCCTGCCACACTGAATCCCAGTCCTACTCCGATCTCCTTATGGAGAACCACCACTTGAACATCGTCATAGTCCTACAAGAGAGACCATAGACAAAGTGAGAAAACAAAGTTGTAGCTACATGCTCAATCTAATTTTATTAATATAATAACAGAACATGATTTTAATACCTATATTAGAGCAGCAAAGATGAAAACGAAAGGATGATGACATGGAACAAAGGTTAATTTGCCAGATTTTGTAGTTTGAACTTTTCATGAAACATATTGGTTTTTATTTGACATATTTACATAAAAAAAAACAGTGGCTCAAACCCAGAACCGTCTCACTGTGAGGCAACAGCGCTAACCACCGCACCACCATGCTGCCTGTAGTAATATTAATACTGTATTTAATGTACTCCTGTGAATTCAGATCTAGCAGGTTATTGCCAAGCAAAGAAATTCCATTAAAATAATAAGAGCAACTACAGCCAAAAGAGAGGCAGGTAAAATAGCATAGGAAAAATGATCAAGTTCATGGCAATGATAATCTGGGACCACAATTTCAAAACAAAAAATGAATGCCCAGCCATTTGTACCTGCCGAGTGTTGTCCCCCAGGTTCCTGACATCCTCCAGCAGCCTATCAAGCTCCTCAGTGGGCATCAGAGACACACAGGACAGGATGGATACATCTGAACTCACTGACATAGACCGCTGGCCTGTAGATCGCCAGTCATCACTGTCATTCTCTGACTCGTACTCAACTCCAGCAAAGTTATACAGGTCTGAAAGACTACATGAAATAAGAGCAGAGCGATTAAAAACGATCAGTTATGTTCATTATTTCATGATTATCCTCTGACAAACCAGAAATCTAATCATATATACAGCACCCACTTGACACAGAAGCTCATGTGTTCTGATTGGCTCGTGCTACTGGTAATGGTCACCGAAGACTCTCCAGAATCAGAATCATAGTTTGAATCTTCATCTTTCTGTGTGCTTTCATCATCATCCTCATCTTCAGTATCATTACAGACCTTAATGTCTGAGCTCAAGCCAGCTACCCAAGCATCCAAGTCCAACACTCGTTTCTTCCCTTTCTGGTAGGCTGTGTTGACATCTGGGGAGATGGGCTCAGGGAGGCTGCTGTGGGAGAAAGTGGCAAGGGGGCAAGGAAGAGGTGGGGACTGTGGATCAGGAGATTTGACTGACTTTGTGAAGACAGAAGTGCTATCATATCTGTATGCAGTGGGAATGACATTTTCCGGCTGTGTGGTAGGTGAAAGAAAGGGTGAGTGGTTAGGAGTGTTTGTTGGAGTCTTGTCATCGTCACTGAGAGGTGAACTAACTACACAGGGCGATTTTTTCGGCACACCAGTTGAGGTGTCACTGGACACTAGTACAGTTGTCTTGTTGTTAGTGGACAGATCTTTTTCACTTGCCTCCTCAGGGCTGAAGACTTTGGAGAAATCTGTCTCATCTATGAAAAAGTGCTGAGGTTGTCTTTGAACTCCTCCATTTAGCGGAATTTCAAGTGCCCTCTTCAGTCTGGAATATTTACCAAACTCTTCACCACAGTTGTTAGACCTTTTTTCCCATTCATTCTCAACCAAATCATTCCCTTCTCTCTCTTTCTTACCCCTTCTCAGTCCATTCTCATCCACCGATAAAGACCTTTCAGGTTTGACACCTGCCCCCTCTCCCTCCCTTGATCCCTCCCACTTGTCCTTTAATCCACCTGTTGTTGGTTTTGTTGACCCACTGATAAGATGTGTCGGTGCAGACATGGCTCTTCTGGGCATGGGAACATATCCTTGATTTCTCTGTGACAGAGCCTCAAATTGACTGATCTTATTCTTCACACTGGTTGCAGAGGGGGCTGACAACATCTCCTTCTTCCATTCTGCTGTTTTCAATGTGATTTTCTGTGAGTTGAACTCGAACACATCTTCACTGGTGCTGCTGCTCTTTGATTCATTCTTTCCTTTTGCTCCATCATCGGTCTTTCTTACTGTGTGTATTCCATTAGTCTCAAACTTTTTATCAGTGTATTTTACACTGCTCTGGTCCCTACTTCCACCTGCTCCTATGTCTCTCAATTCAGACGAATCAATGAAAGAAATAGATCTATCTTTTTCTAAGAAAGTGTTAGACTCTGGAGCGATTCTTCCTGCAGCCCTGGCAGATCTAATCTGAGCTGCTGCAGTGTTCCTGCTCCTAACTCTGTCCAGAGACATGGTGCCTCGTGATCTTCCTCTAAATACCTGCTTTGGCTTTGTCCTTGCCACCGTTCTCCCAACAACCTCCTGCTTCTACCTGGAGGAAGTGAGCTGTCTGAACCCGACATATCTTTTTGAGGTATCCAGGGGAATGAGTTCCTGCTTATTTCCCCCGATGAGAAGCGTTTGAGGAAACTACCTCCTTCTGCCCTGTCATATGACTTCTGCTGTGGTGGGCTAAGGGTTGTTCCAGGGGTTGAGAAGTCCCTAATTTTGCTGTAATCCTCTGCTTTACCAAAACCAGCAGACCCATAAAGTTTTTCTATACGCTCCAGTATACTCTGACCTCCTTTGGACCCAAAGGAAGTAGCTGTAGCTGTGAACTTAGAGCCAAGTGCAGGCTGAGGCTTCAGCCTGGAAGGAAGAGAAAGACCTTTGCTGGTCCTGTCCATTGTCTGGCTTATATGACTCACTGGGCTTCTCTCTTGAGCAACAGTACTTGCACCTCCAGAGTTATAGGCCTGTATTGAAGACATCACCATGTCCCTCGTACTTTCAACTCCTGTCCGTCTTTCTTCCAGTTCTCCAGCCTGTCTAGTGATGTCCTCTCTTTGTTTGGATGACCACATAGACATGTCACCACTGGTGCTCCAATCAGGGCTTAAATTTTTACTTAGCAGGTCATTTCTCCTCTGTTCTGGTCTTTCCTGACTTGCAGGTGTAGGATTTTCACTTTTAATGCCAAACTCTGTGATAGTTTTGTCTGTTGTGCCATTCTGATTCAGCTTGGCAGACATTTTATGACCTGATGTTTCTTTCTCCTGACCTTTGACATCGTAGCAACTTCCAGTCCAGGCTTGATATTCAGTAATTGGGTCCTCCTGCTTATTTGTATCATTTATGCCAGCATGTGTCCCATACCTCTCTCGTTCCCTGACTCCCTTGGTGCTCTCTCTCTTCTCCTCTGAAAAAGATCTGGCTATCCGACCACTTGATCTGTGAGTGAGACTGTAGGAGGGAGAGCTAGCTGAGCGGACAGTGAAGTGTGCTCCTGTCCTCTGCTTGTTGTACTCATTTGCTGGAGTTGGGAGCAAGGACAAGTCCATTGTCTCAGAGTAAACAAAGTTAATGACCTCCTGTCAAGTGCCAATTCCCAAAAAAGAGAGTCGAAGAGTGAACTTGATATTTAAGTGATTTCAGGCAACTGTCTGTTAGACTGCACTCTGGTCGCAGTTCATCTGAATGCTATGTTCTGAGTGTGTAAAAAACAGTGAAACAGTGGCACAGTCCTCTCATTAGAAACAAATGTTGCGTTAAAAAGGTTGACACTTCAGTGATGCTCCCAGTGATATTCTGACTTGTGGTCTAGAAGTGGTGAATTCTCCCTGCTCCTCTTCTTGCTTTCATGTCATTTTGTCCGCAGGAGTCTTTGGTTCCCCAGCACGACTTCGGCGAACAGCTCCCATTGCCTGCCAAGCATAAAAATGTACATCCTCAGAAAGGATTGAGCTGGAATGTTATAATATGTGTGTTGCTCTGACTGCTTAGAATGGCCAAACAAAATCACAGACTGGCTCCTGACAGTGAATACAATATGTTACAGTGAAGCATAAAGTGAACAGTGAATAGAGAAGATGTCTTATTTTCTTATCATTTTCATGTCTTCTCTATTCACTGTTCAAAACAAAAGATAGAACATGAGAACCACTACAGTATGCTCACTCCAGTTACAACAGGTCCTTGCCTTTCTAACATCCCCCTCACACTGACTCAGTAAACCCACTGACAGAAGGGATAATGGTCTCTGTTGTTCATGCATATCGTAATAGCTGTTTACACAAGCAACATACTCATGACTACCTGTCAGCATCAGCTAAACCTGAACCAAAAACTGGAAAAACTCACCTAGCAGCAATCCACTCAGCAAAAAGAAACACATGTCAGCAGCTCGAATTGGTCTCAAAGAGTCAACGAGAAACAGCAACTGCTTTAAATCTCATAAGAATGGATCCATGTGAAATGATCAGATAAGCTGGACAAAGGACGAGGTTACTTTGATTTACATACAACTTGCTGAGAGAAAGACAGTGTTACTGATGGAGATGGCTCATTGGGGATATCTGAGAGTTCAGGCACATACAACAGTGAAGCTGTCTTTGAATATTAATCAAGTCAGAATTAGGATCCAATTAGCTCTGTTGACACAAAACATAAATACTCTAAGCTGCCGACTTACTGTACTGCACAAATACAATATAACAAGGGAATTAGATCATCACCACCTGTTCAACTGCTGGATATGCTGTTTGCAGCATTCTAAAAAGTCTAGGTTACAGTGTATAAATTTGGAGGACAGTGTAGGTGGTGCTTTCCATTGCAGGTGTCAGTTTACAGAAACACATGTTAAGCTAGGTCACAAACCCACCCATCTGGGTAACCCGGGCAACATTGCCCTATTCACTTTAATTAAACAACAAGAACGACACAAATTCACCAAGTGATCAAGCAAAAATACACATATTAATTCACTCTCAAATGATCTTATCACAACTTACTCACGTTCACAAATGATCTTATTAATCCACTCACACATTCACAAAAACATGCACCTTACCTTCTCTAAGAGTGACCTCTGTACTTGTCCTATACCATGATGTTGACACTGGTTCATAATTAAGGCAGTGAGGGGTGAATACATCAGCTCCTGACTATTCTCTGTCTGACTTCTTCTCTTTTCATCAGCTTTGCATGGTTGATTGTGTACAGTGGTGCAAACCCGTCACACTAGTTTATCCTCTTGATCTCTCTTTTTCTTCTTCTCTCTCTCTCTCTCTCTCTCTCTCACTTTAAGCCTCTCTTTCTCCTCCGCCTCCCATTGTTGTTTTCTCCCTTTTTTCCTTTTCTCACAGGGTAGCATTCCAGACTACAGTTCAGTGTGTCATCCAGGGAGTGCATGTGCGCGCGCACACTTTCTTACACACTCTACAGACACTTGAAACATTATTTCTCAGTGTAACATTAATATTTCATAGCTCAAGTAAGAGGAGATACAGTTAAATTGAACTGTAATTGAACAAGAATAGAACAAGAATGACATTTCCCAATATAAATTTATAGTATCAGCCTACATGGCTCAAAACCCAAGTCTAATCATCTGGGCTGAGCAGGTATCAAAATACATAATAATAGAGCACCTTTATTTGGGACCAATGACCACAAAGAGCTCATGTACTGTATGGTAGATTCAGGGATAAACCTTTACATTTTGTACATTTGTGCTATTGTAAGTGCACCTCTAGTATGTCATAGGTGCAACAAGGCCCAAGTGTTAAATTCAGCAAAACAAAGCTCTACTGCAGACACACTTGCTGAAAATCTGTGGGACTGTAATGTCGACCCAAGGGGGAAATGTTTAAGATTGCTGATAGGTTTTATCTACACTGAAGAAAAAGAAGTATTGTTTGTGGGAATACTGGATTCTGCAGAGTAGGACGGTGAACAAACAGCCATTGAATCACAGAACATGGGGCAAGAAAACTAGCAAAAAAGAAACAACCAAAACGTAGACATAAAAAAATAAAACAAAAATCATTTACTTACAGTTCTGGTTCTCCTTCTTACTGCTGCTGTTTTGCGTGCACCTGCTACTGTCTTCCGTTGAGACAGAGGAAGCTGTGGTTACTACATCAGGACGCTGCAACACTCAGTAACAGTCTTACAGTATGTGTCTGAGCCCGTCAAAAATCAGAATGAGCAGAGGCTGAAAGACTGACCAGGTCAAGTCTGTTGTACTAATGATCCGATCACAGATTATCCTGACCGGTTGTAGAGAGGTTGTATGTCTTCTCAGTACAGTGATAAGTCTGTGAGTAGGGGTAAATAGCTCCAGCACGGCTCCGTTGACACCTACCCTTATTCTGGACAGAAGAATGGCATTCAGAGTGTCTGCAGGATGGAATAATCACTGTCTTGCTCACACAGACCCACTGGTACATTCAGTTCATTATTTAGGGCGTAGGACTCAGAGCACATCTTGTGACTTAGCACTAGTTTATGGTATTTAATCAGTAGTTCACCGTGGACAGGATTACAAAGAGGAAATTGACATTTCAAATATGTGTCTCATTGTTTATGTTTCTGGAAATCACAGGATTCATAGGCCTATATATTTGTCTCCGTGTCGTTTCTTTATCATGAGTGTTTGGTGATTTATTTGTTAGGTCATGAAGTGTAGCCACTTTCAACAGCAGAGGGCAGGAGAGGCCACGGAAACGTCACCTGTCCGTGCCGGTCACGTGACCACTGCGGAAGTCAACAAATCAGTGAGAGAAATGTGCCGTAAAAAAGCTTTTTACTTAAATTCGCTGTTTTATGTTTTCCGTTTAACACTAGCTTCATGTGTCATAAAAACGACTAGTTAAACGAATCCGTATGTTTTACAAAGTTAAAGTGCTTAGCTAGCGTTAACCTTAGTAGGTTCAGTAAAAACCCACTGTTACAAAATGCGGAATGACTCTTTTCTCTCAAGCATAAACGTCGTGCTTGTTATGGCCTACGGAAGTCTGGTGAGTCTGTCTCACTTGTTATTAGCGAGTTTGGTCTAACTCTGTAATGGCTTAATCAAATTCACGATGACGACAATCATGTGTTGGGTATTTTTAGTCAGATAGATATTGGATAGATACTTTATGTATTAGACATGTTTAGTGGAGATAGGGTGTCTAGTTAGACTGTTAAATGCTTAGGCATGCTTATGAGTTTCTACAGGGTACATCTGGTCAAGGATAACTAGAGAGAAGAGTTGATGACTGTCAGCAGACAGGATGTATAATATTATTATTATGACGTGTATAACTGTAGCCTTAGCCATAATATGTTCTTATGTTTAAGTCACGACATGTTACTAGAAGTCTGTGAGAATGTTTTTAGCTACACACCACTTAACCAACAGACACACACACTGCCTGCGAGCAGTTTGGAGGTGCACGATACCTGAGCGTGTAATGTTAATTTTACCTGTGATCCTTTGAATAAATCAGCACTGTTTTGAAGTTACTTGGACTGTCTCGTCTCTCAGAGTTAGCAATGGTAAGAAGAACCAAAGTCCTTCACATGTCAGATAAAGACCTCAGGTTTCACAACAGAGTTTCTGTATGCAAGAGCCAGACTGACTTGTTTAAATTCTTGGTACTGAAAATGTTGGCCATGCATACTCCCCAAAACAGAATGCACGCTTCATGTCTGTACTAGTTTAAATACGATTGCGCCAAATTTGTTTTAACAACTCCACCTTATTAAAACAAAATTACTGTTCAGTTTACCACCACTGAAATATATTTCCTTTTCACCCTCAAACATTGCAGTGTGTTGAGTTCTTCTAAGTGTAATTTGTTGTTTTTCTCTTTAATGCTCTCAATAATTACAGCATTAGTGTAATTTTTTTTGTAATCATACAAATGCTGAGACTGTTTAATGGGTGCTTTGAGTAAAAGTTTTTGATGGATTCAGGGCGGACGCGGTACATTCATACTGTAAGGCACAGGCATCATTTTGCTTTTTGTGAATGGAGGGATTACTGTAGTGTTACAGTAAATCACACTCTACAGTACACTAAAATGAAACCGTTCAAAACGAAGCCTTACTCAAAATCATTTTAAATGCTGATTTCTGTGTAATTTTCACATTTTTTCCACATTACATATCATCATGCCAACCTGTATCTTTAGTGTTTTAAAAGTGAGATTGTCTGTAGTGTTTGGGTTTCATAACTTTTGCTACTGACAAATCAGAGTGGTACAGTTTAACCTGATAACTACCTTGACAGAATTTAACATTCATAGAACAATCTTAACAAGTAGATTCCTGTTTTGTCTGTTTCTCTATCTTTTATTTTCCATCTAACTCCTGACTTTCCTCCAGGTGTTTGTTTTGCTGTTCATCTTTGTCAAAAGGCAAATTATGCGTTTTGCAATGAAGTCTCGGAGAGGACCACATGCTCCCCTCGGCCACAATGCTCCTAAGGTAACACACCCACCCCATTATGGGCCCAAAGTGTCATCCTTTACACTGCTTTACTTACGTATGAGCCTTTGTTTTTGCTGTAGAAGCTGAGACAAGAAATTGAAGCCAAACTGCGCCAGGTTCAGAAAATCCACTTTGAGCCTCGTCTGCTTTCACCAGATGATGACCGGCTACAGCAGCAAGAACAGTCTGGTTAGAGGAGCACACACACACAGTAGTCCCGAAACTATCTGCAGGAGTTGTTTGGATGCTAGTTTGTGTGTTTTTCTCGCAGGTTCCCATGACTACCTGTACAGGATGAGAGCACTGGATGCTATCAGAGACACTGGTAATCTTTCCTCTCATTATTACTCACAGTTTGGCTTTGCTTTACCATCATTGGTTCTCCTTTTCCACTGTTATTATTATTCTACCACTATAACAGTAACACTCTACTTTCCCATTAGATCTCCCTTTCCGTGAACTGGGTGGGACGTCCACCGCTGTGACGGGTAAAAGATTTCGGATGTGGCTTCTGCAGCTACGAAATTCCCACTGCATGTTCCGAGACAGCCAAAGGTCCCTCATTGATACAGTGCTGGATGGCTACAATAAAGCACGTCATGGGGCAGAGGTCAGCGTCTCTGTGTTTATGTGCTAGAGATGTATCCAGTTTTTAAATTGTGGTAATAACAAGAAAATTTGGTAGTGGGTATTATGCTGTGTATAAGGGCCGCAAGTAATGATTACTTTTTATATTGCTTAATCTGCTGATTATTTTCTTGATTAATCAGTTCTTTTGTTTATAAAATGACAATTGACACAGAGGTGATATTGTCTTTTAGCCAACCAAAGATCTGCTATTTAAAGATAGTTTATGAACAGTGTTATCTCTACATAAATAATTCTCTTCTACACCACACAAGTAATATACTATTACAGAGTGTTAACAATCATACACCACACCCACAATGTTCCATCTGGTTAATCATTGAGCCTGTTCTTGCATATATCTTGATTGACACATACCTTTATATTTATGTTTAAACTCGTCAATTCTATTACTATTTTTTATGTCCACACTTAAGGAAATACAAAATCTTTTTTTGGTTGTACGTATAGCATGAATCTTTAAATTTAACTGACCCCTTAAATTGTA